TAGGCAACAAACTTATGAATATGAGTTAGCAAAAAAAGTTGTTAAGTCTTGAAATTTATTACGAATGTTGGTTGTAGGAACCGCATTTCATTATAATGACAAGAGTTCGGGAGACCAAGATATTAATCTGTTGAATTATTCATCTCATGAATATTCATTAGTAATTTGCATATTAATCTCAGTGAAAAACTACCTTGACAAAAAACTTTAACCTGAAGCGGGACAGACGGACGAATGGACGCACAAACCGAAAAACATAATGCCCCTCTACTATCGTAGGTGGCATTAAAAAGTTTAAATGGCAGTAAATGCACACGACAGCTTTATCATATTGTCAAGTTAAATGTCTCCCAGAAAATTGAATTGACAGATTGATCTCAGTCACTTATGTGTTAAAATTTACGGTGGCTGTATTATATTTATATTATCAGAGATTGTATTATATGTCTCTGATATTATTAAGCTCTATTGAAATAGTGCTTTAATGAATTTGTCGTTCACTGTCATATATGTTTTAAAAAGTCAAAGCCGAAATTATTTCACAGAAAATAGTGTAATGATATCAAGCACCTTACAATGAAGTAGAAAAAACATTGCAAAAACTAAAACAAATGAAAAAGGGAAGTAATATTAAATCATTTATGGGTTAATTTTTATAGCAGTTTTTAATCGGACGATTCATCTTTTAATGCAATTGGTGACACGATTTACAACATAAGTAAATGTATTATTTCATTGATATAGCATGGCTACCTGTGAAACATTCAAAAGATTGCTAAATAAGAAAGTACTTGAAATTAAAGAAGGATGAAGAAAGTCTCATCAAAGGTACCAGGCTTATAGTTCTGTACGCCAGACGCGCGTACGTTTCGTCTGACGCATCAGTGATGCCTGAATAAAAAAAAGTATAAATGCCAAATAAAGTACGAAGTTGAAGAGCATAGAGGACCAAACATTCCTAACGGTTTCGCAAAATACAACTAAAGCATTCTATTCCTGGAATAGAAAATCATTAGTATTTCGAACCAAGTTTTGTTAACATTTAATTTATTAATGTTACCGTATCAAGCTTATGTTGTTTGGTACACCAGATGATCGTTTCGTCTATATGTAAGACTCGCTCGTCAGTGGCGCTCGAATCAGAAAAGAATTAAGGCAAAATCAAATACGAAATTGAAAAGCATTAAAAACCGTAAAGTTTCGAAAAGTTGTTGTGCCAAATAAGGCTAAGGCCATGCCGTTATATTCTTGGTGGTAAAAAAAACCTTAGTGTTTCGAATGCTTCAAGATTTTATTAACAGTAAATTTACAGAAAATGAACATAAAAATGAGATTTCTTGTCAACACAGAAGTCCTGACTACTTGGTTGGTGATACCCTCGGGAGAAAACGTCCATCAGCAGTGGCATCGACCCAGTGGTTGTACGAAAATCTAATCAAAGACCAAAAGATAGTATTGTAGCACTGCTGTCCTATGTTAACTTAGTACATATAATTATTCCAACGACCAAAAACTGAAACGACATCTTTTATTACACGATTACCCTTGATATTGGACTTTATATATGATGCTCGGAAAATAACAAACAATTGATATTGGAATTTATATGATACACGGTAAATTAAAGAAACTGTTCGTGACAGTCCTTAATGTATTCGTCACTTAAACCTGGTTCAACATAGCATTTGAATGTTCCTATATATATTACGTCAAGTCAGTCAATAGTCAATGTTTTCTATGGGGATTGTTTGAATATATTTCCGCCATAACAGCCAGTATATATTTATTTGGATTTAAAGTTTAATATATTTGTTATTTTCAATTTGTGAAAGGGTTAAAGAATGTTTGTTAAAATTCTTAACGTTTATCTTTCATATTTAAATTATATGTTCTATCTACATACAAAAGAGAGGCAAAAGACACAAAAGGGACATTTAAACTCATAAGTCGTAAATAAACTAACAACGCAATGGCAAAAAAAAAGAAAAAGGACCAAAAGACAAACAACAGTATACAAAACTCAACATAGAAAACTAAAGACTGATCAATACGAATTAACCCACCAAAAACCGTGGGTGATATCATGTGCTCCGTAAGGGTAAGCAGATCATGCTCCACATGTGGCACCTATGTTGTTGCTCTTATAAGTACAAATCCGGTAATAAGTTTCGAAAAGGATGGGAAATGTGGTTACGACGATTGGAACATATCCATCGTCATCTGTGAAAGAGATATTCCATAACGGTCAACCAACTCGTGATGGTGCCATTAAAAATTTTCAAAGGACGATTTCAACTTCACTTGGAACTCTTGGTTCAATGGCTTCCTTGTGAGCAGCAAACCTCTATCAAGGAAATCATGATGGACAACGCAAGCCCTGAAATATTGCATCAACTGGGATATATATATTCTCCATATGCATGCTCTGCTGGAACGTTGCTACATAGAAATGGAAAGTTCACAATTTTGATTCATGCCGCCTCTATAATAGGTTGTTTCATAATCATTTTGAGGCCCGTCTGATTTCTTACAAAATTATAATAATTTAGAAAGTGGTTTCGTGGAGCACTTAAGCAAGACCGAGCAAGAAAACGTTGTATGTTAGGACACTTACCTGTATGTAATTTAGGTATCCGATACAGCGAAGGAAGATCCAGTTTTTCATTTTTGGTTGAAATTCCAAAGGAACATAAAACAGACCTATGATTATTCAGGATTTCCTCCTTAGTAAGTGTCTCTCAGGTATATGCCGAGTGTTCAAGTGAATTATAAATACCTATTCATTTATCAAGCAGTTAATGTAATGTGATTTACACACATAAACTATGTTGTTAGGGGTTTTATCTGCGGGAACAACAACATATTTGTCATGGAGGTAGAACAGGTGCTTTGCAACATCTGGGTCTTTTAAGATTGATGTAGGATGTGTATTCCTAGACCCATTCATTTTTTTTTAAATCTGATTTGTACCAACTAATCTTAATAAATGTTATTAGAAATAACAGATGCACATTTGAACCATGGACAGTCACATAGAAGCCGAGTTGTGGCTTTTTATGGATTTAATTGTAACCTTTCTTCACATACTGTTTTTTTTCTGGTGATAATATCCGAAGGTATCACCAGCCCAGTAGCCGGTAGGTCTTTTCACCACCGAACACCACCGCACACCGCCGAACACCACCGAACACATTAAAATATTGCTGGATCCGGAAGCGTTTTTTTTTTAATTTTGATTCTCAACTTTAACGTCTCTAATGCACATAAAAATGTGAAAAAACATGACAATAGGATTAAATTTTACATAATTTAATCGATTTTATTGTTTTATTGTGTAAAATTACTATTTTTCTTATGGGTTAGTGGTCTTTTTGGGTGTTTGGTGGTGTTCGGCGGTGTGCGGTGGTGTTCGGTGGTGAAAAGACCCACCCCCCAGCTAGTACTTTGATACTGGCATGAAAATACCGATATTAACTGATTGAAATTTGCTGTTCTAAAATTTTGGAAAATTTAAATTCAGAAATATATCTCCCTCATGCAAAGCTGTGCCAAAAAAGTCTAGGCAATATATTCTTGGTGGAAAAAAATCTTAAAGTCTTTGGAATACGTCAAGATTTTAAAAACAGTAAATTTACAAATGAACATATCAATGATATTGAGTAACACCTTTTTATCTTTATTGTCTAATTTTAGGCAAAGTTGTGGTTTAAAAAGTATTTATGCAATCATTCCATTTTAATTGTTCAACTGAACAGTTAATTTTAATTCCATTATCTTCTTCAAATAATATGAATACTAGTGGTTATTGACAAATGTCAGAGTACTATGAAAGTGAAAAGATCTATGCAGTAATTGAAGATGATTCAGCTATTATCAATATGAATGTCAGCAATAAAAATGCTGTTCTTTTAATTCATTGGGATAGAGAATTCATACTGACACTAAAACCAATTATGTGGATATTATTTCGGGTAGTGATTTTTTATGATTCCAATTCATAAACTTTTGGCAGGGGGTTTAAATTTGGACATTAAACCAATATATGGTTGCTTATTACCCATTATTTATGCATCAGATATTTAGCACATTTTATGTGATGACAAATAAGCAAAGTTCATCCCCCACTAAAAAACATTTCCCAATAACAGCAATACATGACAGGTTAAGAAATGTGTATATGTAACAAGTAAATAACCCAATTCACCCATATAAGTTTACTTAAGTAGATATTATGGATCTATCATGGTTATCATTGATATCAGAAGACATGTCCCAAGTCAGAAATCTTGTGAGTGGTTGTCTTTTGTCAAATCTTTCTGTTATTTGGAGAATTTTGATGTTGATGGTAGATATTTGACAGTCTGTTAAATTATTCACAATCTTTTAAGAATCAGAGCATTGTCAAGCTTAACAAATTGAATACACACCTGTCTACTGTCTGTAAGCTGTAAGTTTGGTTCAGTTCTGTCAAACAGGAAGTTTGGCTGAATTCTGTCAAGCAGTAAGCTTGGTTGAATTTTGTCAAGATGTAACTTTGGTTAAATTCTATCAAGCTGTTACTTTGGTTAAATTCTGTCAAGATGTTACTTTGGTTAAATTCTGTCAAGATGTAAGTTCGGTTAAATTCTGTCAAGATGTAAGTTTGGTTTAGTTCTGTCAAGCTCTTAGTTTGTTGAATTCTGTAAATCTATCAGTTTGGTTGAATTCTGTCAAGCCGTAAGTTTGGTTCAGTTCTGTCAAGCTATAAGTTTTGTTGAGTTTTGTCAAGCCATAAGTTTGGCTAAATTCCGTCAAGCCTTAAGTTTGGTTGAATTCTGTCAAGCTGTAAGTTTATTTGAGAATCATAGAGCTATGAATAATTTTTAGATACCATGTCGTTTCAAAATGTATAATACATTGTATTAGGTATTATGCTAATGACATGACTGAATGGTTTATATAAAATGCTACTCAAACTGTTGCTCTCAAGCATTTCTGATTAAGGTTATTCAAGAAGCAAGTGAAAAATGAAACTTTTTATTTTATTTGTATTCATAATTTTAATCATAAAATACAAATTGTGTTTATTGTTGTGCTAAATGCATGGTCATCCAAAACGGATAAAAATGAATGCCTGTATAAACATGATAAATTTCATATGCCATTAAAATTTTACTAAAATTTTAGCATCCTAAAAGTAAACATAAATATGTGCACATTTCCTAAAATTCATAAATATCTTTTATGACAAAAAAAGCTAACAAATTGAACTACAATCAAATGGATGTTTTCAGCGGAGACAAGATGTAAAGAATATTACTGACTAGGTGAGATTTCAAGTCTACGCCTCTTTGCATGGACTGTATATCACGTTGAATACCACCAAACATAATAAGTTCACCACGACCTTCAGATAAAGAATAAAATATTGTTTCATCGGGAGCATCCAATGAAAAGCTTTCATCTATAGGTCGCCATGTCACATGACCTTGTACAACCTCTGCAATGTCAAGTACATGTAAATGCATTTGTGAATGTGGATCTCTTCGCCGAGAAGACATTACGTTCTGAGCCTCAGTATTTCTACTCTGTCCAGTTTGTTTTTGCTTTGCTTGCTGTGCCATGTTTTCCCGTAATTTTTCTTCCATTTTTCTCAGAGCTTCAAGTTGTTTTTGTCTATTGCTCATTGCATTTGGACGTACTGAGGGAGAACCTGACCGAACACTTGAGGTTGATTCCATTGCACTTAACTGTAACTTTTTTTGTTGTTCAACATAATTTAAGATTGCACCTAATTTTCTTGAAGAATCTGGATCTGATGGCTCTAACCTTGAACGACCTGGTTGTAACGGTTGCCTAGGTGAGTCATTTTCTACAACTGAAGGTCGTTTAAATTGGGGCCCACTTTCCTCATCACTTTCTGTGCTGGAACTGTTATACCTCTGGTCCCCATAATGAGAAGGGCCTGCTGTTGGCATCCTGTGTGAGGGACCAGGATCTTCACCACCTCTATCTGATGGTGGTATTTCTCTTTCAACTGGTGGCACCCAAACTCTATTTTGTTGTATATTTTCAACTGGACGTAAGTTAGGACTGGGTTGTGATGTTGGTTTTGATACAGATTTTGTAGGTTTACTTAAAACTGTGATCATGTTACCAATCTAAAAAAAATAAAGTCAAATATATGAAATGTTCTCCAAATGCATGTAGATATTTATACTGCTAGGAATGTGTTGCTTTTAAAATGCCAATTTATATAATGAATTACATCTTTTTGTTATTTTTTTTGTATACAAAAAAGTTCTATATATTACAGCAACTAGAAAACCGGTCAGTAGAACTCACAAATTGATACCACCTGCTTGACCAATTTGTATTATATGTGGATGTTATAGCTAAAGCAGTATAGTATAGACAGATAGTTAAGACTCTATTATCATTGTATGCTTTGGTTTCAGGTAACTATTTTTTCTTCTTCTGGTAAATAAACCTAAAGTTTAGGATACCTAAAAAAAACTACTCACATTTACAGAGTATTATTTATTTTCTTTGCTATCCTGCACAGACAGGTTTGTTCCTAATTCAAAATATTTTTCAAAGCAATAATGATTCACAATTGTATATCCAAAGAAAATTGCATTTCCCTTCTCCTTGCTGATACTTTACTATATTACAATCATGACAATTAAACTAGTGAAACACAGTACTATTTATATAAGAAATATATCTATTTGTAAGTATTCAGTCTTCATCTAAATACTTGCAAGACATGCCTGTACTTTTCAATTAGTTACATAATTAATAACCATAGTAGTCAGCACAGTTCAATTGAGAATTCAGATTTTATTGTATGTAATAACTGCTTTCAGGAACTACAGCACAATTTCTATTTTCACAAATTATTATAATAAGTGTTGTAATAATATAATTCCATGATTTAATCCGTATTTAGTCATTTAAAAAAATTTCCAATAGTATATATAAATAACATGATAGTTGTGTATAATTGATGGTTATAAATAACATGGTAGTTGTGTATAATTGATGGTTATAAATAACATGGTAGTTGTGTATAATTGATGGTTATAAATAACATGGTAGTTGTGTATAATTGATGGTTATAAATAACATGGTAGTTGTGTATAATTGATGGTTATATGTTGATGATATTCTATTGTAGTTGAACCTTTATATTATAAGACTTATTTCAGAGAAAGGAAAGCAAAATTTACTGATTCTTAACCTTCTTTGATGATCTAGTTTGAACTATTTTTTTACATTTCCATTCATTTAGAAATTTGCAATTAAACAGTTTTAATGCTGGAGGAAACAACATTCATTTGTGAGTCACTGAGAGAGTAAACTCATCTTGTTCTTACCTGGAAGGTGTGAATTCAATACACTGGCACAGTTATTTTCACATTAAATTATTTGTCAGTTAATCTTGTTAATGTATTATGTACATCAACCCCTTTTTCTTGAATGTATCTTGATTGACTCTATTATGCTATTTGTGTGTGACTAACTCTGAAAACCTTTTCCTAGCAGAGGAAGTCATTCACACAATCTCACCCACTGAGTTCTCATAAAAGAGAAACGAAAGATACCATAGGGACATTCAAACTCATCAAGTAGAAAATAACTGACAACACCATGGCAAAAAAAAGACAAACAGTACACAAAACAGAAAACTAAAGTCTGAGCAACACAAGCCACACCAAAAACCAGGGGTGATCTCAGGTGCTCAGGGAGCTGGACCATAAAGCTGTGAAAACATGGACGACTCTATATTTTACAATTTATCACACAAAAGATACAATTTGTTCCTGGTGCAAGGTCAAAAAGGTACAAAACCACTGGAAGACCAGACTCATTGTGTCAGAGTATTCATATGAATTAAGGATATGTTTGCCAAAAGTCTATGTCAGGGCCTTTTATAAAATGCTATGCAATATGGGTTTTGCTCATTGTTGAAGGCCGTACAGTAACCTATAGTTGCTCAAATCTACATCATTTGAACTCTGGTGGATAGTTGTCTCATTGGCAATCATACAGCATCTCCTTATTTCATATACAGGTGGGGACACACAGTGTTTCATATAACATGTGGCAGAGGAATAACTGTAAATAAAATCTTCATATGGTATAAAAACAAATTATATTTTTGTTTACTATGTGCATTTTTACCTTGCAAGCTGGATGACACCATAGTTGAGGAGCAGCACAGTCTGTGTTATTGACCTTGACCTCTGTCCATTCCCAGGGATCCTTGTCCATGCTTAACAACCACATGTCATTAAATATCTGAAATAAGAATAGATGTCTACAATTTGTACAAATCTTCTTTTATTGATATTTATTAAATTGATTATCCATATAGTGGACCATGAAGTTAAAGGATAATGCCAGCTTCTTTTCTGTCTTCTTGTATAAAGTCTGCCTCATACAAATAAAGGAATAAGTCAGTGAATAAAAGAGCACAGTTAGTTCCCATAGGCATGCCAATTGTCAATTAAAAAACAAATATGTTGGCAATTGACAAATCAAGCATCTTGTTCATTATATTGTTAACTTTCGAGAACTTTTAGTTTTAATCAGTAATTTTGTACAATGTATGTATTTGTCTTTTCTTTAAACAAGATGTTTGTATCTGTGTTGGCCTTTCTTTCTTATGAAAGGAAGTGTGACTAATTCTTTCAATTTAAATTTCTAATGAGGAAAAAGGGTTTAGAAGACAAATGTTTTGACAATAATGCATAAGGAAAGGGACTTAGATTCAATGTACTCTTTGGAATTTTGTTAGTATCCCTTTCTGATTCACAATGAGCAGGTAGTTTCACAGTAACCACGAAGCCTGTTTTGATTGCTGATAAAATAAAGTTTAAAATATTTGGAAAGAATTTTGTTTTAGAATTTCAAAATACTGTAGTAAAAATTACTACATCATGAACATAAATACCTTTACAGTGTTCTATATTCAATACAATATTTTACCTGATTAGGACCTCCACAACCACCTATAACTAATATATGCTGGTCATCTACTGTCACCTAAAATGAAATTCTTAATTACACAATAGATTTCTAAAATGGTACAAAAACTAATCTAAAGAGGCATAATTTGATTAACTATTTTCAAATAAATATTTATTTTGATCAATGATTTATACACACTCCTGATTTAATTGCACAATACTGCTAATACTAATATAAAGATAGTGAAGCTGTTAGTTAACATACACTTGCATTGAACTTTAACTCATGACCCATCGACAGAACTAGGCAATAACAAACCAGAATATGTCTTATGAATACCATGCCTCACTCTGGGTCAAAAGTTTAATTTTGCATATATATTTTAGAAATCTTTCAATTTTGTTGTTGTTGTTATGACAGGGCTTTTTATAGCTTACTATACAGTATGGGTTTTGCTCATTGTTGAAGGCCATACTGTGTTCTTTAGTTGTTTACAGCCTTGTCCTTGGGTCTCTGCTGGAAAACTGTCTCATTGGCAATCAAACAACATTTCCTTATTTTTCAAGTTTAAATCTAATGTGACCTTGACTTCATGGTAAATTGCCTTAAACCAAAACTTCACCTGAGAATGTATTAGTTTTCTGTTGTCACTTTTTAAAAATCTTCAGTGAACTACAAATCAAGGTCAAATCCCTTAAAAGCTAAAGTTGGCTATGATAAATAATGGAGCAATGTAGAAATGGTGTTGCATTACAGGAAAATTACTAGTTTATTCTGATTTGTCTAGACATCATTTAAGATGAGATTAAGACTGAGCAACAAAATTTATGACCACAGAAATTAAATTTCTATTTTTTTCACTGAACTATACTTAAAACAAACTAGAGGCTCTCAAGAGCCTCTGTCGCTCACCTGTATTTACTGATGCTTTAGAAATCATGTAAAATAAGGTTAAAATCATAATTAATAGTATTAGATATTAGATATTATAATGATATCTAAGATAATAACAAAAAACTGCAAAATTTTTGTAAAATTACTAACTCAGGGGCAGCAACCCAACAACGGGTCGTCAGATTTGTCCGAAAATTTCAGTGCAGATAAATCTAAATCTGATGAACATTTTTGCCACCTGTCAGATTTGCTCTAAATGCTTTAGTTTCAGAGATATAAACCAAAAACTGCATTTTACCCCTATGTTCAATTTTTAGCCATGGCGGCCATCTTGGTTGGTTGGCGGGGTCATCGGACAAATTTTTTAAACTAGATACCCTAATAATGATTATGGCCAAGTATGGTTAAATTTGTATCAGTAGTTACAGAGAAGAAGATTTTTGTAAAAGATTACAAAAATTTACGAAAAATTGTTAAAAATTGATTATTAAGGGCAATAACTCCTAAAGGGGTCGACTGACAATTTTGGTCATGACAACTTATTTGTAGATCTTACTTTGATGAACATTATTGCTGTTCACAGTTTATCTCTATCTATAATAATATTCAAGATAATAACCAAAAACTGCAAAATTTCCTTAAAATTACTAATTCAGGGGCAGCAACCCAACAACAGGTTGTCAGATTTGTCTGAAAATTTCAGGGCAGATAGATCTTGACCTGATAATCAGTTTTACCCGATGTCAGATTTCCTCTAAATGCTTCAGTGATCTGGAAGGATTTTTTCTCTATGGGCCCAGGGCCCCCCAAAAATAAATTCAATGGGCCATTTTTAGAATTAATGGGCCATGTTGTCAAATGAGTGGGCCATTCGTTTACAATAAAAAAAAAAAAAAAAAAGTGTATATTTCACTGTACTTACAAGTATGGTTCTAATTAATATCATGGATATTGTTCCTGTGATTTTGTAATTTCAATTTCAATGAATATACAAGAACTTCTTCCAAACCGGGCAATATTTACGATAACCTTTATTTACAATGTTAAAACTGGTACTGTTCCCTTGTTCATGTTCATGTTTTTGCTGAGCCTTCGACTTTTGTCGAAAAAGCGAGACATAGCGATCCTACATTCCGTCGTTGTCGTCGGCGGCATCCACAAATATTCACTCTGTGGTTAAAGTTTTTGAAATTTTAATAACTTTCTTAAACTATCCTGGATTTCTACCAAACTTGGACAGAAGCTTGTTTATGATCATAAGATAGTTTCCAGAAGTAAATTTTGTAAAAAAAAAAAGTCATTTTTTCAGTATTTTACTTATAAATGGACTTAGTTTTTCTGCCAGTTAACATTACATTCACTCTGTGGTTAAAGTTTTTAAAATTTTAACAACTTTCTTAAACTATCTTGGATTTGTACCAAACTTTGACAGAAGCTTGTTTATGATTAAAAGCTAGTATCTAGAAGGAAATTTTGTTTAAAATTTTGTTCCATATTTTCCGTATTTTACTTATAAATGGACTTAGTTTTTCTTCCAGTTAACATTACATACAGTCTGCAGTTTAAGTTTTTAAAACATTTATTAGATTCATAAACTATCCTGGATTTTTACCAAACTTGGACAGAAGCTACTTACAATCAAAAGAGAATATAGAGAGGAATATTTTTATTAATTTTTTTCCTCATTTTTGTTGAGCCTGTGATTAACAGCAAAAGTAGGCAAGACACTGGGTTCTGCAGAATTCTTACGAATTTTTTTTTACATTAAATTTGGGTCTTCGTCGATACCATACTTATTCCTGACGTTCCGTATTAGAGGAAGTTTCTGGCATTTCCTCTGCACTTGTATTATTATTACTTCATCACGATGACAAGAATAACAGTAGAGAGCAACGTTAATTGATAAGACACAACAACAATTCACTGAAGGCATGTTTACAAAATGTCAAAACGAGCCAAAGACCAAAAAAAAAAATGACAAGGACAGTTAAGCCCCTTTGATGGAGACAAATACCATGCTATTCATAAAAAGGCTTTTGGGTTTTTCAATCGAAATAATAGCAAGCTTACTTAAAAGATTATAATTAGAGAAGAATTCTCGCCTGTACTAGCCAATTTTCACAAATTTAAAGTTGTTTATAAAAAAATATCATGAATGATGGTTAATTACGTTTTTTGGGTAATCAGTCATACCGCATGTTGCTATTATTACCATAGGAAAACATCCGAGACGTCCCAAAAATATATAGGTGCTCCTTAGCCTGGGATCCTGGCCAACTGCTTGACAGTAGACGAAGTATAAGATTGGGTCAGGATGCCAGGCTAAGGTGCTCCTATCACTGGAGTAAACACTACACAGTTGTGTACTCACACATGGCGGCACGAAATACGATCGGAAATCCATTTGACGATATCGCAACGTTTCAAAACGAAGTGAAAAATATCATGCGCCACGCGGGCGCTTACATTTGTCACTCTATGCGCCATTTCTGGTCGATAAGAGCAATTGGCGCAAGGCGCACTTCCTTCCCGATCACTGATGCTTTGGTTTCAGAGATATAAGCCAAAATCTACATTTTACCCCTATGTTCTATTTTTAGCCATGGCGGCCATCTTGGTTGGTTGGCGGGGTCATCGGACACATTATTTAAACTAGATACCCTAATGATGATTGTGGCCAAGTTTGGTTAAATTTGGCCCAGTGGTTTCAGAGGAGAAAATTTTTGTAATAAACAGCTGCGCCATTGGTGCATGATACGCCCGTCGTCTTGTGTGTGAATTTTTATGCAATAAGCATAAATAGTTTCTGACATACGACGTGACATGCGAAAACCACCTTTTTTTTTTAACAAAAAACTCAATATCTATAAAATAAAATTTTGAATCAAAACCAAAAAGTATACAGATCTTTAGATTAATATAACTAAGAAGTGTGTAAAATTTTAAGCAATAATCATAAATCGTTTTTGAGATACGGCGTGACATGTGAAAACACCCCTTTTAAAAAAAAAAATCAATATCTCAAAAATAAAATTTTGAATCAAAACCAAAAAGTATACAGATCTTTAGATTAATATAACTAAGAAGTGTGTAAAATTTTAAGCAATAATCATAAATCATTTTTGAGATATGGCGCGACATGTGAAAAACCCCTCCCCCTTTTTTTACAAAATACTCAATAACTCAAAAATAAAATTTTGAATCAAAACCAAAATGTATACAGGTCTTAAGGTTAATATAACTAAGAAGTGTGTAAATATTTTAGCAATAATCATAAACTGTTTTTGAGATACGGCGCGACATGTGAAAAACCCCTCCCCCTTTTTAACAAAATACTCAATAACTCAAAAATAAAATTTTGAATCATCACCAAAAAGTATACAGATCTTAAGATTAATATAACTAAGAAGTGTGTAAAGTTTTAAGCAATAATCATAAATTGTTTTTGAGATACGGCGCGACGTGAAAAAAAACACACACCTGTTTTAGTTACTAAGTCCCGTAACTCAAAAAGTTTTTATCTTATTTTCACCAAAAAGTATACAGATCGTTTGACCATCATAAGAAACAACTATGTTAAGTTTCATGAAATTTGGATAAGTCATTCTCAAGTTACGGTGCGACATGTTTACGCCGGACAGACAGACGGACAGACGGACAGACAGACGGACGGACGCCGGACATTTGTATAACATAATACGTCCCGTCAAAAATTTGACGGGCGTATAGAAAGCTAACGACGACGACGACGAAGGACGACGGACGCCAAGTGATGAGAAAAGCTCACTTGACCCTTCGGGTCAGGTGAGCTAAAAATACTGATGAACTAGTACTAAAGGAGCTAATTATGTCCTCAAACAGGTATTTATTAATAAACATATAAATTACTTCTTAATGTCTCAAACTCGACAATCATTGTGGACCAAAATTATGTTCCATATTAAAACATATACTTTAACACCATGCAAGTTCAAATTGGGTGTTGACATTTTTTATTTTAATTTACAGAACTTCAAAGGCCAGCTACACCACAAACAGTACACCTAGGCTAGGTGTCTGTCACAGGTGAGACAAAAAGCATTTGATTTCTGTTTTTCATCTGGAATCAATGGTTATCTAACAAAACATTACCTCAGGATTCAAGAATTAATTTTACAATCATAAAGATATTTCCAGCTCTTGACCACTGAGGTGATATATGTCTCAACCAGAGATCCCCTTTATATTAAATTTTACAAAAAATTATTCATAATTATTTAGTAACATATGCAATTGAACTGCTTTACATTTATGACGAATTAACATTAATCATGAACTGATGAAGTTGTATATCATGTATATTCTGCATTCAAAGTTAAAGTACAAATATTTTGAACTTTTTACTGGTGCACTTCACTTTTAGATGACATGAGTAAACTATATATACCTGTGTTTGACCAAATCTTGGGCTTGGTCTCTTGTTTTCTGTTACAATTTTCTTCCAGGTTAAATCTATAAAATCAAATCTCCACAAGTCGTTTGTTCTAAAATATACAATTAATAATCATTAAAACTGAAATGCTGAAAAGTATCACCGGCTCTGATCACTATTGAATTTAATATTGAAAATCATTCAGCTTAAGGTCTACCTACAGAAATCATATAAAAATATTCAATGAACATTATCAATGATCCATTAAAATCAGGTCAAGGTCAGATAACCCTGTCAGACAGACATGTACACCTTACAATCATTCTTTACACTTAAAACTTTATCATAAAAACTATATGTATATGTGATCGGTGAAGGAATGCTCTATGGTCTTACCCTGCACCTGGATCCTCCAAACATTAACATATAGGGTCTATGACATAAGAAGCTGAGTGGCCTGCTGTAAGAGATGGAATTGAGGTTTACTTACCCTGTACCTTGATCCTCCAAACAGAAGCATGGTGTCTTTGACAGCAGAACCTGATTGGCCTGCTGTAGGAGATGGAATTGAGGCCTTACTTACACTGTACAAGCCACACTGGATCCTCCAAACAGAATCATTTTGTCTTTTATCATTGCAATAGAAAGCTGAGTGGTCTGCTGTAGGAGTTGGATTTGAGACCTTACTTACACTGTACAAGACATACTGGATCCTCTTAACAGAATCATTGTGTCTTTGACATTTGAACTTGTGTCCTGCAGTAGGAAATGGAATTGAGGCCTTGCTTACCCTGTACTATAGATCATCCAAACAGAAGCATGGTGTCTTTGACATTTGAACCTAAGTGGCCTGCTGTAGGAGATGGAATTGAAGATTTGCTTAGCCTGTATCTTGGATTCTCCATACAGAAGCATATTGTTTTTGACAGTTGAAATTTTATTGGCCTGCTGTAGGAAATGGAATTTAGGCCTTACTTACCCTGTACCAGGCACACTGGATCCTCCAAACAGAAGCATGGTGTCCTTGACAATAGAAGCTGAATGGCCTGCTGTAGGTGGTGGATGTTCTCTAGAAATACTGGTCACTAGGTACCATCTGTTGACCTCTGGTTTGTACATATGTAACTCATAGAAAAATCCTGCAGCCTGGAAAAGGTGAAACATGCTCACAAAAAAATCTTATTTAACATGTTTAATCTTTTTACTTTTCATTTGATGACAAATAAATACTATCTGCTTTACTAATCAGTGAAGCCTAACATTTTCACATTTACTGTCATAAAATACTGAGTATTGAAAATCAGATTTGAAACCAAATACATGCAAGTTGAAATACATCATGTACATGCAAATTTTATTTTTGGACCAACATAAAAAAATCCTGTAGATTTATGGGTTTTACCTCTGAACAAGCTGAAAGACAAAAAATCATGCTACAAGACACTCCAATAACATATTCCATCAAGAATTAAGGCTGATGGGGGGTCTAAATTACAAACAATAGATTTTTTTAGGACTTAGGACAGGAGCATAAAAATGCAGCGGGTTAACCGTTTAAACGTTTTAACAGGCTCCAACCTTCACCCTAACCTGAAACAGTAGTGTAACATTACAACATAATAAGACACACTATAAAATATCAATTGAAAGGGCTTAACTCTATCAAAATGACATTCAAACAAAATCAAGCAAACATACACTGAACGAATAAGTTTGATCTATGATACAACATAAATACAATATTAATAAACTAGAGGCTCTAAAGAGCCTGTGTCGCTCACCTTGGTCTATGTGAATATTAAATAAAGGACGCAGATGGATTCATGACAAAATTGTGTTTTGGTGATGGTGATGTGTTTGTACATCTTAATTTACTGAACATTTTTCCTGCTTACAATTATCTCTATCTATAATTAACTTGGCCCAGTAGTTTCAGAGGAGAAGATTTTTGTAAAAGATTACTAAGATTTACGAAAAAATGGTTAAAAATTGACTATAAAGGGCAATAACTCCTAAAGGGGTCAACTGACAATTTCGGTCATGTTGACTTATTTGTAGATCTTACTTTGCTGACATTTATTGTTTTTTACAGTTTATCTCTATCTATAATAATATTCAAGATAATAACCAAAAACAGCAAAATTACCTTCAAATTACCAATTCAGGGGCAGCAACCCAACAACGGGTTGTCCGATTCATCTGAAAATTTCAGGGCAGATAGATCTTGACCTGAAAAACAATTTTACTTCATGTCAGATTTGCTTTTAAATGCTTTGGTTTTTGAGTTAAAAGCCAAAAACTGAATTTTACCTCTATGTTCTATTTTTAGCCGTGGCGGCCATCTTGGTTGGTTGACCAGGTCACGCCACACATTTTTAAAACTAGATAACCAAATGATGATTGTGGCCAAGTTTGGTTTAATTTGGCCACGTAGTTTCAGAGGAGAAGATTTTTGTAAAAGATTACTAAGATTTACGAAAAATTGTTAAAAATTGAATATAAAGGGCAATAACTCCTAAACGGGTCAACTGACCATTTCAGTCATGTTGACTTATTTGTTAATCTTACTTTGCTGAACATTATTGCTGTTTACAGTTTATCTCTATCTATAATAATATTCAAGATAATAACCAAAAACAGCAAAATTTCCTTAAAATTACCAATTCAGGGGCAGCAACCCAACAACAGGTTGTTCGATTCATCTGAAAATTTCAGGGCAGATAGATCTTGACCTGATAAACAATTTTACTTCATGTCAGATTTGCTCTAAATGCTTTGGTTTTTGAGTTATAAGCCATAAACTGCATTTTACCCCTATGTTTTATTTTTAGCTGTGGCCGCCATCTTGGTTGGTTGGCCGGGTCACGCCACACATTTTTTAAACTAGATACCCCAATGATGATTGTGGCCAAGTTTGGTTTAGTTTGGCCCAGTTGTTTCAGAGGAGAAGATTTTTGTAAAAGATAACTAAGATTTACGAAAAATGGTTAAAAATTGACTATAAAGGGCAATTACTCCTAAAGGGGTCAACTGACAATTTCGGTTATATTGACTTATTTGTAAATCTTACTTTGCTGAACATTATTGCTGTTTACAGTTTATCTCTATCTATAATAATATTCAAGATAATAACCAAAAACAGCAAAATTTCCTTAAAATTACCAATTCAGGGGCAGCAACCCAATAACGGGTTGTCCGATTCATCTGAAAATTTCAGGGCAGATAGATCTTGACCTGATGAACAATTTTACCCCATGTCAGATTTGCTCTTAATGCTTTGGTTTTTGAGTTATAAGCTAAAAACTGCATTTTACCCCTATGTTCTATTTTTAGCCGTGGCGGCCATCTTGGTTGGTTGACCAGGTCACGCCACACATTTTTAAAACTAGATACCCCAATGATGAATGTGGCCAAGTTTGGTTAAATTTGGCCCAGTAGTTTCAGAGGAGAAGATTTTTGTAAAAGTTTACGGACGACGGACGACGGACGCAAAGTGATGAGAAAAGCTCACTTGACCTTTCAGGTCAGGTGAGCTAAAAAGATGTAGGAACAGTGTCAATGTCCAGTGAAAAATATTTCATGCATGTTCAGGAGACCAAATCAAAAATAAATATAATAGGTAAGTTCTTCAATAGGGGATGGATCGCAATGAAGGGCAGAAATTTAGAATGCCACTGGAAAACATGTTGAAACATTTACTTTTTGGGGATAACAAATCGATATTTCCATAAGATACAATTGTATTATTTTATTAAATAAAAATTATCACAAATCAATTTCTTAATTCTCATCAAATTGTGCTTAGTTGAGGATGAAATAGACCAATCATTTGCAGCTTTTGCTTAAAATTTTTAGGAGTAAGCGCAGGACTGGTTGGCTTGGAGTCAGAATAACATGAATAATGTGTCTGGGTAAGGTGATATGTCTTCCTGTGGACTGTTACCTTGTGAACTAGCACGTTAAAAATTCTGGCTCAGCGGGTTGGTCTAGTACAAAGCAGGGTTGATATTCATATAACATTAACATGTTCTCGTCCTGAATATGCATATTAATTTGCCGCTGGATGTTAAGCAACCATCCATCATCATCATCATAAAAAAATTGAATTAAGAAACCTAATCTACCTTAAAATTGCACATCTTAACATAGTTAATTTGTTTTTAAATCAACATTGCATAACGGTCTCCTTTTTGATATTTTGATATCGTATGGACAGTTTAAAGTTTGCACAGACATGACAGCAATCTGTAGCTAAATATAAAAAGCTTAAATACAACAAACTGTGCTGTTTTGTATTTTTTTAATGTTTACCAAATTCTTTACAACCTACCTGGTGTAAGGGATAAGGAGTTGGATGACTCCATCCACCAAATAATACCAGACTGTCTTTATATACAACCATACTGGAACATGCCTTAGGTGATGGATAGGTTCCTAGCAACAAAAACATAAACATATAACATATTTGTTCTCATTCATGTCATTCCTGACTGGTGTTAAACTGATTCTGGTAATTGCAGTAACCACAATCCCAACATGGCTGAGGTAGAAATAGGTAAGATCGTCTTCTGCTAATTTCATGTAAACTTGTTGTTTTTAAGAATTACTACGCCACCAGGTTGATATGTTTGGTTTTGTTGTGTGTATGTATTCTTGATGTCATTTATGGCCTCGTTACCAAAAATTATAGCAATTGAAAATTTAAGGAAGATAATCGTAACTCCATGAAGTTTGTTTGAAATGATAATCATAACTTGACTATCAGATAGTCGTAATTTGGATATGATAATAGTAACTTATCAGTGATTACTGCAGTGTTCTCCCAGGGTCGTTTTAGCTTCAAGGTAATGTGTTGCTGCATTCCTTGAATAAGATGTTGTATGAATTGATTTCTAATAGATTTTGTTATAGATTTGATGTTGTAATTACCACCAAAAAGATGATATTTCAAAATGCCCTGTTTACCAGGATGTTTTTATAATTGTTCGGGGAGAACACTGTTGTATCTGTTTTTTTGTCTCCTTCTTGCAATTCAAATTTCATTAATTTAAACTGTTTTCCTTGTCAAAGAATAACACAGCTAACAATATTTTGCATTTTATTAATGGTTCTGGCTATATTTAACATTACTGTTAGTTGGTAATTTGTAGGACTATACTGCCCATTTAGATACACAGACTATGGATCGTTCAATCAATTAAACTTATTTTCAATATTAAATAAAACATTAATAACAAAAAACATACTTTGACTCAATGCTAAAACAACTGAAGCTATGAAATAGCATTGAGAGAATTGAATGCAGTAATCTGAATTATGCATAATCAAGGTAATTATATAATCAAGCAACAATGCTACACTGAAAATGCTGGGCCGAAACTGCTTATAAAAATCAAACTACTACATAATATTTACCCATTGCTAGTGGCCTTATCCATTCTCTCCTTGCCAGGTCAAATCTCCAGAGGTCATTAAAGGTCGTGTTCATTGATGTACATCCACCAAATACATACAGTGACTTGTCATAATAACAAGCACAATGGGAGTATCTTTCTGTTACCCGTATTATGTCAATCTCTGGTGCAATTCTTGTCCATTTCACTTTACTTTCATATACACAATTTTGAAAGGTCTGTCTTAGTTGTCTTGTCACACCTGTGATATAAAAATATTACTATTGACAACATGGTTGATAAATTATCATTTTTGTTAATTTAATCAATTTAATAGTTAAGGGCACGACAAAATCAATACAGTGTTTAAATGGGTTCAACATAATGTGATCTAGCTCTAAAGACTTGCTTCGTGCCTTTTGAATGATAGTTTGTATCATATCATTGGTTGTGTGTTTAAATGACAACAAAGGTGTTCCAGTGAATTCAAAATCAGCATGTCTAAATGTGATATTGTCACCCGTCACTTTATTTTGATATCTTGCATTGTCATAGCCCATCTCTTATTGTAACAACTTTATTGATGAAAAATTCAGCAAATGAGTTAACGTTTGACAGTTTTTCATTTGAGGATGAACTTCATTTGAACTTGGCAGAGGGGTGTGTTGTTGATTACCCATAAGATATTTTGTTAGTTATAAAAGCTATCGATGGTCATTTCCTAATTCTCAATTTAAGATTGATTGATCGCTTAACAATGCTTAAATTTTCACTTCTTCGTACTATGAACATCAAAATTATTTCATTTTTCCTTATATGCTGTTCTTGGACCTGTACAGGAAGTTTTATCTAGCACTAATTGTATAGTTTTATTGTTGATATTCACCAAATATGTACCAAGTGTTAGATTAGTTTTATTGATATTAAAAAAAATTTGTTGGTATTCCTAAACAGAAGATTTTATACACACAGAAGAAGAAGTATACTTAACAAAATTATTTTCATTTACCTGTGTATAATATGACGCAGGTTTCTTTAAAAGTGATGATTTTATAAAAATTGTTTGACATTTCACAGTGATATCATACTTTTAACTTTGTTTAAACCTGTTTCTTTACTTTTGACTTTATTTATCCCTTGTAATTTTTTATTAACTGTGTATTTGCATTCAGGTGTCACAGGTCAAATTTATTTCATTGTGTGTTAATTTACGTTTTTTGATTGAGTTAAGCCTTCCAATTGATATTTTATAGTGTGTTTTTCTATGTTGTGATGTTATACTATTGTTTCAGAAAAGGGAGAAGGTTTGGTACAAAAATGTACCATTAAAACGTGTAATCCCGCTGCAAATGTTTGCACCTGTCCTAAGTCAGGAATCTGATTACAGTAGTTGTCGTCTGTTTATGTAGTTCATACATGTTTCTCGTTTCTCGTTTTTATATAGATTAGACCGTTGGTTTTTACCGTTTGAATGGTTTTACACTAGTAATTTTCTGGGGCCCTAAGATTATAGCTTGCTGTTCAGTGTGAGCCAATGCTCCGTGTTGAAGGCCATACCTTGACCAATAATGGTTTACTTTTATAAATTATAACTTGGATGGAGAGTTGTCTCATTGGCACTCATACCACATCTTCCTATATCTATCAGTCAGGGGTACTACTTGTACAAGTAATTTTTATTTACTTGAAGAAGTAAATATTAATATACTTATATAAGTAAATTTGTAGGATACTTATACAAGTGTATTTTATTTACTTGTATAGGAAAAAAAAAATTGGGCTTAGTTATGTCCCTTAGACATTCAGATTTTTTTACTTATACAAGTAAAAAAGTCATCCTATCTTCTTTTCTTGAATTCTTAGGACTTCTTTGCTCTAATAGAATTTTTGATTGTCTGTCCTTTGCAGATGTCTTTACTAATCATTTAAGTGTAATTTCATGGACAATGAAAATCTCATTTGTCTGTTATCTTCAGAACACTGCTCATTTACAAGCCCCCAAGGGGCAATTTTTGAAGGCCTTGCGCAAATACTTAAGATCTTTGCGCAATCAGTTTCTTTGTTGAATTAATGAGATGAAACATTGAACTCTAATAAAAAATTATGAGCTAACCTGAGAAAAATTGTTTTTACATCTCAAAACTTGAGAATTTTTGTGGGATTGTAAAATAAATTTACATTTTTTTAGAAAATTAAGGGGAGATTATTCAAACATTATAATTAACTTATATAAGTTTATTTTATTAATAAAGTTGTATCTCTATAAACACCCATGTGAAAAGAGTTTGGAAAATAACAGTTGCAGATGATGATGATGATGATATATTAACCCAGACGTGTCACCCTAACCAACCCAGACACATCATTCTGATTCTGAGCTGACCAGTCTTTACTCTTACCCTTTAATGCTCTGTGCTTATAGCGAAGAAGCAGCACATACCATTTTTAAAGTCTTTGGATTGACCTGGCAAGGTTCAAACCCATGTACTCCCGCACTGGAGGCAAACATGAGACTTCTGAGGTGGTATCCAAAAACTGTGGTGTCATACCAACACTGTCCTAAGTCAGGAATCTGATGTTCAGTAGTTGTCGTTTGTTGATGTGGTTGATAAGTGTTTCTCTTTTCTTGTTTTTTACATAGATTAGACCGTTGGTTTTTCCGTTTGAATGGTTTTACACTAGTAATTTTTGGGGCCCTTTATAGCTTGCTGTTCGGTGTGAGCCAAGGCTCAGTGTTGAAGACCGTACTTTGACCTACATGACCTATATTGGTTTACTTTTATAAATTTTGACTTGGATGGAGAGTTGTCTCATTGGCACTCATACCACATCTTCTTAGTATCAATTGAAACCAGGGTTTACTTTTCAAACAGGGGTTAGAAACGACACGAACAGTCTCACTGAGTAATAAACAGTAGACTTTTGAATTGGCTTTACAATAAGTATGAGGAAATCACAATCCGAGTTAGGACTTACAAATTATGGAAATAATCTTTTACCTGCAGCTAAACGGTACCAACGACGACAAACAAGCATGCAAGACTTGACATCACGATATGGTGAAACCTTGGACAAAATAAACTCTAATATTTCCTCGGGCAGATCATCAATATTCACATTGGATGTACAAGTCTCGAACTCCATTTCCATTTCCAAACATATGTAAGGAATTTGGCTAGCTGTAAAAATGCCAAACCTTGTAACAATAAATGTAGGAAAAGTAACGAAAAGCTCCGAAGGAAAATAGAAATTTCGGTTTCAATGAAAAACCAGTTAAAAGAGTAACCGACTCTAAAAACGTGAAGTAAATCATTTTGTTATTTGAATATTAAAGGTCAACTAATGAAGCAACAAACTCGAAAGACATTAATCAATTTATTCCATAACCAATAATTAATTCTAGTTAAACTGCAAAACATTGTTTGGAAGTATATTCACAAAACAATTTACCACCGGAAATGTTATATTTAATTTGTTCTTAAACGTCCCGCGTGATTTTCCTTCGATACTTACTGCGACTTTACTCAGAATCGATCTTGATTTCGGCATAATTCTGATGTAGGTGTAGGTCTCATAGCCGTGTCACACATACATTGTAACCTTGTTCAATTAAGGTCTAATCATAAATTTGAAATAAAGGTGAAAGGGTAGATGTCATGAGAAAAAATACCAGATAAAGGCCAGGAACCGTCTTTTTATGTTTATTGCTGTTCTTCATCTTAATAATTGCTTATGAGATATTAAATTATACAGTGCTTAACACCTTTGCAAATTGGAATACTTCATTTCAGACATGGGGCGAATTACATTGCAATGTAATGCATTATATTATAATTACTTTGACAAAACCATGCATTAATTATAAATTACAATTACAATTACATAGATATAAGAAGATGTGGTATGAGTGCCAATGAGACAACTCTTCATCCAAGTCAAAATTTATAAAAGTAAACCATTATAGGTCACAGTACGGTCTTCAACATGGAGCCTTGGCTCACACCGAACAGTAAGCTATAAAGGGCCCAAAAAAATTACTAGTGTAAAACCATTCAAACGGGAAAACCAACGGTCTAATCTATATAAAAAACGAGAAACGAGAAACACTTATGAACCACATCAACAAACGACAACTACTGAACATCAGATTCCTGACTTAGGACAGGTGCAAACATTAATGCAGCGGGTTTAAACGTTTTAATGGTACCAAACCTTCACCCTTTTTCTGAAACAATAGTGTAACATCACAACATAGAAAGACACACTATAAAATATCAACTGAAATAGCTTAACTCAATCAAAGGACATATTAACACCATTGAACATACACTGAACAAATAAATGCATTTATCAAAGTAATGCATTAAATTACAATTACTTTTGCAAAGTAATGCCTTGAATTACACATTACATTTGTAAATTTTATTATCAAGTGAAAAGAAAAATCAAACATTTTGAAAACAACTTGAAGTTACAAAAGATTCTAGCATATACAGTAACTGTTCCATGTATTGAATTTAAGTATACATGTAAAAAGTCTATTCAATAAGACTATTACATTTCAACATCATAAGGGTTTCGAAGGTTTCATGATGAATAATATTTCTGACTACCCGACTGTTTCACAAAACTATCAAAGTAGATTGTTCTTCTATCATTGGTTTTCTTCTTCTTCTTCCGAATACGGGAGTAGACTCCTAGGTAGGAGTGTAAAACTTCCCGGAACTTGTGTGCTATGTACATATGGACTTAATTTAAAAATAATATGATAAAGAAAAATCATTAACAATAACATATATACATTATATACAGTGGCTTTGTAGTTTAATAAGTTGTTGTGGATCCTTCAAATGTTAGAGTGGATATGCCACTTTTGAAGGATTCCAGGGTGTCAGACATACCTAATTTGCTTCAGGTAGTGAGTTCCAGTCCGAAATAGTGCGAGGATAAAAAGAAAATTTATAGAAATCTTTATTTGTTGATATTTGCCTAAATTTATGTTTCCCTCTAGTACGTCTATCAGATATTGTTAAATTGTCCTTAGGAACTTCCACTAATGTTTAAAGGTATACATCTCTGTGTTTTCTCAAAAAAGAAATTACAGAGATGAAATTTAATACTTATTTTAACTTATTGTTAACTTTACTTTTATATATTTTTTTTTAATTTCAATCAAAATATTTACTGAGAATTTCTTTCCTGATTTTATAATAAACATAGAGCTTAATTTATGACCAAGTGTCAAAATGTGAAATGATTGATTGTAAAACAAACAAATTAGTGTTTTATGACAATGTTCAATTATCTGTTATTTAATCATGTGATCTTTTGACAACAATAGATCACTTTTACAGTAATGTTTTTCATTATGCAGGTCATTCTAGTATTTATACCACTTAATTTTTTTTTTCTTTTCAAGTTCTACCTGTGGCAAGGCTTAATCTCCGAATTCCCTCTAGTGATTTATGTAAAGTGTGAAAAATAAATAAAATAGAAAATCAATATTCAAATGATTGTGTTCTTAGTTAATAAAAAAATCTTAAATTCTGCTTTAGTTTAATCTCCAACAATCTGTTAAAGATATATAGTATGTGAAAAAAGTAATGCCATGTAATGTAATGTAATGCATGAAATTACACAACTTTTTGCTAAAGTAATGCATTAAATTACAATTACATGTAATGCAGAAATTGCTGCATTACACATTACATGGAATTACTTGGAAAAATGTAATGCATTACCATGCAGACATTTATTCATCGGGATTTTACTCTTTTTCATATAAATTGGGGTGAGTTGGCCAGACTAAAGTCAACGGGATTTTATCCTTCTTTCACAAGTGGGGCGAGTTGATAGGATTAAATTTCAACGGGATTTTACCATTATTCATAAGAGGGGAGAGTTGGTGAAAAAGTCGGGCGATTTGGCAGTGGGGCGAGTTGTTATGGATTCTTCGTTTTGTGTGTTCACTATAGAGGCTTATTTCTGCCATTGTGAAGTCGAGTTGCAGAGATACATTTTTAGCTCACCTGGGTCCGAAGGGCTCCATGTGAGCTTATGCCATCACTTGGCGTCCGTCATCGTCTGTCTTCTTTGTCGTAAACTGTTTCAAGAATCTTCTCCTCTGAAACTACTGGGCCAAATATCTTCAAACTTTAACTTAATGTTTCTTTAATAGTGTATCTAGTTTATAAATTTTATCCGAAGTTTTGATCCATCAACAAACATGGCCGCCCTGGCTAAAAATAGAACATAGGGGTCAAACGCAGTTTTTGGCTTATATCTCAAAAACTATAGGATATTTAGCAAATTTGAAAATGTTCAATATGTCAATATATATCAGCCCTGAAATTTTCAGACAAATCGAACAACCCATTGTTGGGTTGCTGCCACTAAATTGGTAATTTTAAGGAAATTTTGCAGTTGTTGGTTATTATCTTGAATATTATTGAAGATAAAGATAAACTGTAAACAGCAAAAATGTTCAGCAAAGTAAAATCTACAATAAAGTTAATATGTCTAAAATTGTCAATAGACCGCTTAAGGAGTTATTGCCCTTTAAGGACAATTTTACACAATTTGTTCATGATGTTTGCTAACATTTAAAAATATTCTCCTCTGAAACTACTGGGCCTAATACTTCTAAACTTTAAATGAAAGTTCCTTAGGGTGACTAGTTTATAAATTGTATCCGAAGTTTTGAACCATTAACAAACTTGGCCGCCATGACTAAAAATAGAACATAGGGGTCAAATGCAGTTTTTGGCTTTTATCTTTAAAACTGTAGCAGTTAGAGCAAAAGTAACATGGAGTTTATAAAGTGATGAATAAGTCAAGATCTATCTGCTAATAAATTTTCAGACCAATTGGACCACCCATTACAGAGTTACTCTCAGAAATAGTTTATTTTTATGAAATTTTACTATTTTTGGTTATTTTCTCTAATATTATAATAGATGGAGAGAAAGTGTAAATAGCAAAAATGTTCAGCTAAGTAAGATCTACAAATAAGTCAAATGATCAAAATAGTCAATTGACTCATTAAGGAGTTATTGCTCTTGAAACGTTTATTTTTTACATTTTTTTGTGCAATTCTATTACTTTTTCAAAAATCTTCTTCTCTGAAACTACTGGGCCAAATACTTCCAAACTTTAACTGAATGCTCCTTAGGGTATCTAGTTTATAAATTGTATCCGAAGTTTTGATCCATCAACAAACATGGCCGCCATGGCTAAGAATAGAACATAGGGGACAAAAGCAGTTTTTGGCTTAATATATCTCAAAAACTACAGCAGTTAGATCAAAAGTGAAATGAGAGTTAAAGTGATAAATGGGTCATGATCTATCTGTTATGAAATTTTCAGACAAGTTCGACAACCCATTGTTGGGTTACTGTTGGAAATAGTTTATTTTTATTAAATTTTACTGTTTTTGGTTATTTTCTTTAATTTTATAATAGATATAGAGAAAGTATAAATTGCAATAAATGTTCAGCTAAGTAAGATCTACAAATAAGTCACCATGATCAAAATAGTCAATTGAACCCTTGAGGAGTTATTGCCCTTAAAACGTTTTTTTTTTTAAACATTTTTTGTGAAAGTCCAATTACTTTTTCAAAAATCTTCTTCTCTGAAACTACTTTGCCAAATACTTAAAAACTTTATTTGAATGTTCCTTAGGGTATTTTGTTTATAGATTGTATTCTGGGATTTGATCCATTCAAAAAACATGGCGGCAGTTTCTAAAAATAGAACATAGGGTTCAAATGAAGTCTTTGGCTTTTATCTCAAAAGCATCGCAGTAAGAGCAAAACTGACATAGGTGAAAGTGTTAAACAGGTTTAGATCTACCTGTCAAGTAATCTTCAGACCAATAGGACAACTTATTGTTGGGTTACTGTCCAGAAATAGTTAATTTTTAGGAAATTTTAGTTTTGGGTTATGTATTATCTTTTAATATTATTATAGAAAGAGAGAAAGTGTAAATGACAAAATTGTTCAGCAAAGTAGGATCTACAAATAAGTCAAATGCCTGAAACTGAAATTATAGCCAGGTGAGCGATATCAGGCTCTCATGAGCCTCTTGTTTTATAATGTAATTATATCAACAAGTCCTCTTATCGGGGTAATCATATCTTATGTCGAGGTAATTATCACAACAAGTCTACATAATTATCTTGACAAGTCAACTCACCATATCCTGGTAAAAATGTCCTAACGTCGAGATAAATGCTCACATCTGCCGTCGTGTTGTTGAGATAACTATGTCGACTTGTCTTGATAATTATCTCTGCAAGTTGACATTAGACTTGATTAAGTTGACTTAAATAATGCAAAACATATATCATGTATATGTGGACTTGTCATGATAATTATCTTGCCAAGTCAAAATCAATGAAAATAGGATATGATTATCATTAAGTCGACTGAATGCAAAACGTAAATTGACTTGTTGAGATAATTATTTTGGCTAATCAACTTAATTATCTGGACAAAAGACTCTAGATAAGAGCATTTATCTCAACTTAAGAACATGTAGGACGAGTTACCAAGATACTCTTAGTCCACTTGTCGAGATAAATTCCATTTTTCTTCTAATCCAACAAGGTGAAAAAATTGTGAAAGTATAATTACATACATGTGCCCCAACAACCTGGCATTTGAGCATTCTGGAATGGGGACAATGTAACCTTGGGCATTTTGGAATAAGAAAAGTAGATCTACCATTGTAATGATTGTTCTAAACAAGAATGCTGAGAGAAATCATCAAAGTGTTAGAAGTATAAACAATGTATGGTTTTACTTTCTTATTATCATATATGCCTGAATTTTAAGGTGTATACCATATTTTAAATTAGTTTTCTTTTATTTTGATAGAATTAAAGAATATGAGTGAAACGAAACCATCAACTATGGAAGCTGTCAACAGAAGATTAGATGAAGTTTTGGTTGAGTTTTTCGAATGTGTTGGAGAACTTTACAAAGAACAAGCAGATCTAGAGAATATAATGAAAAATGGATTCTTGATGATGTCAAGAGCTAGATACAATATGGGGGCCAAGTCTGTTGGTGTTACACAGTACGATGAAACTAATATGAAAGCTTCCAAAGTGGTCTTGGTTACAGATAATGATGATGATGATAACTGTGTCAACAAGATGTTTGAACTAGTAAATGCAAACTGTTGTCTGGATGAGAGTTTAAAGGATCCAGTTTCTAAAGGTTTGAGACAGAGGAAAAGTGGAGGAAAAGACAAAGTAGAAACTGTTGGGTCAGAAAATGTAGAACAATCGACTCACAATTCAAACAATACCAAAAAGAACAATGACCCAATTAAATGGTTTGGTGTTTTAGTTCCACAAAGTTTACGACAGAGTCAGGCTTATTTCAAACAAGCCACAGACAATGTTATAAAAGTTTCAAATTTAAAATCAAAAGTGATGCATCTTAAAGAACAATACAAAAGTCTACAGAAAGAAAAACAGTTAATACATGTAATAACTACTCAATGAAATTATGAAAAAGACAAGATTAGAAGTAGTTCCGTAATATTAGAATTTGGACAAAATAGAGAAACAATTTGATGAATAAAAGCTGGGAAAGTATATCAATATATATACATGACATAGTTAAGAGAAAATGGAGAAGTCATGGATTAGATTTCTGTATTCAAGAATTTAAATGTATACTCGTGTTATTAATGTGAAACAAGTCATTGGTATTGCATATTCTGTTAGATCTTGATTTTCTCTGAAATTTCCATACATCATGAATTTTTGCTATATGACTGTTAAAGTTATTTTTATTAGTTAGGTACATGTAATGTAGTTTATAGCCCTCAACATTTCCATTGCTTTGGTTTTCATCACTTCTAAATGCGACAAAAGCCAAAGATAATGAAGATGGTTTTAGAACATACCATTCAGTAAACAATTTACTCACAAACTAGTGTTCTAGTCCTGTTTCTGTAACATATATAAAACAGTTCTAAGTTGATATTCATCGAAAAGAATATTTCACAATTTAAAGCAAGTTTGGATTCTTAGATCATGTAGATGCCTCCTTTAATTTATATCATTTATTTCTACATGAAGAGTCATAAAATCTATGACAAAATAAGTCAACTCAGGATGGAAATATAACAATATTAATTTGATTCCAGTAACCTATGTAAGGAATATATTAGATATTTCCGAGTCGCACACAAGTTACTTTAAATTCCAGATGGTTTATAAGCATGATATGTGATGATTTGATATTGTTATTAATAATACAGTTTTTTTTTAAATTTTATATTTGATAGTCATGTATACAATTGTTGATAATCATGATAATTGAAAATAAATGTTTTTGATACTTTGTACTTACCGGTAGTATTTCAACTCAAATTCCTATATCAAAAGTTGACTATGTAGTCTTCATGAAGTGTATTTTAAAGGCACTTCAAAATCTAGATTATCCAACTAATGCAACAACTGTGGTTATGTAATAAATTAAAAGATTGGTCAATGAGACAGAAAAGCTTTCTGTGAACTCATCAAAGTGAAATGGCTATTTTATCTTAACATAATCTAAAATGTCTGAAATTAAATTGAACCTTGTAAAAATTTCAACTAGTTCTTCATATATTTTTGGTTGAAGATTAAGTTGTGTCCAGATATTGTGCTTGTAGTCAATACATATACATTGTATCTGGTCAGCCACTTTTGCAATGTATCATTACCCTCTATTTTCAAAGATTTTTGAAGATGAAAACATTATTTTCCATAGTTTTTTTGCAAGAAGAACTTTGTGCCTCCTTACAATTGCCCCAATGATCCCCATCTAATCAAAATTTAGTGAGGATTGTTTGTAGAGGGTCTTGTAATCTTTAAAACATTTAGATCTGTAGTTTCACTTTCAATGAAGAAAATCTTATTAAATAGGCCTATCAGAATCGAAACATTATGAGCCACTGGTGAATTTTATTGAATATAAAAAGATGAAGATTATCTTGACCTTCAATACATTATTTCTGACTAAATTTGATCTAAATTGAATAATTATTTTCAAAGAAACTGAAAAGTGATTTTCTGTATGATTTCGACTTGAATATGTGCTCAATTGTCATCATGATAGACACCTGATCAACCTACAATGAGAATTGTTTGTAAAGGGACTTCCAATTGGAAATTCACTGAAGTTTCAAAACCAATAGACTATTTTCATATTACCGACTTTTGACTCTGGATTATATAATTTGTCGACTGGTTACCTTGGACATCATGGTACCAAGTCAGGTAAGAGCAAGCTAAAGAAGTAAAACCAAGCTTTCAATCGGTACAATTTTGGGGGAAAATTACCTGCTTAACATTTTTTTTCACTACAAAATCATCGGAAAACAGTAAACTTTCCCCTCAAATTACACCGATTATATGTTTGATTTTACTTATTTTGGTTGCTCTTTCTTGACCAAGTACCATGATGTCCAAGGTAACCAGTCGACAAATTATATAATCAGCAGTCAAAAGTCGGTAATATGAAAATAGTCTATTGCGCTGTAGTTTTAGAGAAGTTGGTTGTAAATTTGCCATCTATAACAAAAAAATTGCATCTGGTGGCTGATCATAATGAATTTTAGAAAGGACCTTCAATATTTTATAAATTTCAAATTTAGTTCAAATAGGCTGGGTGGTTGCAGAGATGATGAATACACAAAGAGACAATAACAACTCACATGACTAATGGAACAGGTGAGCTAAAGACTGTTCACATGAATAAAATGAGTCATAGGGTAAATGTCAATGAGACGGCAAGCATTCTGACAACAGAAAAATCAATAGACATAGATCTATAGGTAAACACGGACAAGAATCTAAACTTAATCAAGCTATGTGGTGGGATTAAAAGGATTTTATGCATAATTGTAGGTTATAGTTATCTTGATCATGTTGATATCTAATTCCAAATTGAAGTCTTGTAGTTCATTAATTTTAGTATTTACTGGTATTGTAAACGGTAAGTTGTAAAATCCTGTACTCTATGATGATGATGGATGACTGTGTAATGTCCAGTGGCAAGTTAAATGTATATTCAGCACAAGAACATGTTAATGTGATATTAATATGAACCCTGCTTTATACAATACTGAAAGGCTGAGCCAAGTTTTAAATGTTCTAGTGGATAACAAGGTAACAGTCTACAGGAAGACATGTCACCCTACCCATACACAATATTCTAACTCAGAGGTGCCAGTCTTTACTCTTACACCTAAATGCCACGTGCGTGGTGAAGTAGCAGCAAATAACTATTTTAAAATCTTTGGTTTGACTCTCCATCGGGATCAAACACACGGCCTACCACACTTGAGGCGAACATGCTATAATGAGACCACTGAGGTGGCCCATACTCTAGTGGTCTATACTCTAGTGAGGTGGTCCATACTCTAGCCTCTATGAAAATGTATGACTAGTGAGATAGGAAGTATAATTTTCTAAAACAACATTGCAAGAAACATGAAAGCATGATGTGAAGAATAACAACGTCAAAACTACAATGACAAATCATTTAATGACTAAAAGATTTTATACCATACTGACAAAGTATCAAAGCATTAGCAAAATTACACTCACAAATCACTTAATAACTCATACATTTCATACTTCAATATACAAAATGACATACAAAAAAATTGTCTCCATAATACGACTGGATTTGTAAGAAATTGGATGCTTTGTACAATCTCTAAAAATGTTCATACACACACAAACATACAACTTAGATGACATTATAGATTTGTGGGCATCAATTGCAAAATTGATGGTCTCCAATTGAGTTAACTGGCAAGGCATCAGCAGAGCCTGTTTGGATATGTGTGGCCATCAAATCAAAACTTGATGCCAGGAAATTTTCAAATACAAACCTGTTATCTCAATTTTAATGCAACTGAATGAGAACAGTGAATAATGTATATTGTAAAACCATTTACACTACTTTTGGCTTACATGCACTTTTCCTTACAATCCATTGTGGCATTGGTGTCACAATATTTGTGGTGCTTTTAAATTCAAAATGAACATTACATGTACAAACAATTGCATTAAATTACAATATACATACCTCACATAAATGTAATTCATACACATCAAAATATATCAATGAAAAATAGTACAATGTACAAAATGTATTTGTTTTATTTTTCTCTATAAAGAATTATTTTCAGCTGGAATGGACATGAAGCTTATTGGTTTAAAATGAGTTCAATCTACACGTACAAAAATCATGTATGTAACACAAACAACTTACAGGTTAACAATAGCATAGCACACGTAATTCTAAAGAACTATAATTATTGCACCAGTACATACAACAGTAATTACAATTTTTGTATTAAATTTTCTAGGTTAAAAATGCCCTGATTGATAGAACACAGTTGCACAAGTTAAAATGCAATACGGGGGTAAATGATTTCCAACACATAATTCCCTCTATCTATTCTAAGTTTGTCCAAGACCATATTGTTGCCAATGAAAAATTTCAATATTGATTTTTAAAAAGAAGTGTTTTAATTGACCATGTGATCACTAAAAAGAACAGCTCCAACATTTAAAAAAAATTTTTTAAGGGAAAAAAGGTTTATAATACAGGTAGCCTTTTTTGGTAGAATGTCAATATATACATTGCCTGATATCAAAGATGAATTAGTCAAACATTTACCATAATATCTAATAATACTTGAATATAATATATACATTCCTCAGAGGAAGTAGGAATAAAATCCTTTCATGGAATGATAAAAGACACATATATGCATCAGAAATGTCAGGAACAGTTGAATTATGGTCACATAATCTTCAAAATTCATCACTGGTGTGAATTTTCTTTAGGGTTACCAAGTTTCATGGTTAGAGTGAACCATTTGGAGTGTAAACAAAATTATGGTTTAGTTATTTTATGAAGGTTTATTAATGTAATATACTTCAGATTTAGTTATTTTTGTTGGCGTGGTTTCATCATTTGCTCTTATTAAAGTAACTAAAAACTGGATGATCAGTGAACATGGTATTAAGTACAGAATAACTTAGCACATGTTCATAAGTTAAATAATGTGTGTATATCTCATTCTTCTTCCATTTTATCAAAGGGAAATAACTCAAGCATATAAATAATAAATTATCTGTAGGGATTCCAAACCAGCAAATCTCTCTTTGCTAACTCAAATTTTCTATAAATATTATACATCTGTGAATTTTAAGCTATGAATCAGCCCATACAAATTACCAGAGAAAAACGTACTTAGTTCTTTTTAAACTAAACTAGAACTGTAAAGTTTGGACATAGATTGATAAGTTCATGCAATTCCTAAATTAAATGTTATAAAGCACCCAGAATTATGAAGCAGATGGAATTACTGGATGGCATAATACATGTAATAATATTGTTTTCTATTTAATTATTCTTCAACTAAAAATATCACTAACATTTACATAATCATGAAACATTCATATAGAGATCTGTTCACTGTAAAATATCTTGTACAAATATATTCATTTCCAGGCTTTGTTCAAAGCTTTTCTCGCTGCTAGTTTCTGAGTAATAAGTGTTACTAAAATCATTGCCAGCATCACTAATGATATCAAATAAAAGTCAAAATCTTCTTTCAGTACATCAAACATTTTTGAGGGTTGCACTCTTGTAAAAAATAAATCTGAAAAACAAAATAAATATCATTTAGCAAATAAGATAGCTATTTATTTTTCCCTACTTAAAATAAATTTGAAATGACTGTAAGTGAATTTAAGACTACAGATACAATTTTTATTATAAAAAGAAAGTCAATTCTGAAGTAAATACATTTCATGACTCTATACAATTACATTATGATTTTGATAGACAATGCACTGTATGATTTTGATTAGTTAAACCATTTGGATAAATGATGTATGTATGCCTATTATGTTAAATGACTGAATAATAGACAACGATAAATCTTACGGGGCGATGGATCATATAATTATGATACAGTACACTACAAAATATAATATATAATAAGTCTAAAAGGGTACAACATCACCAAAAAATAATAATAAAATGAACAAATGTTAAATATTTCGGATAACAGATATCCTTCATCAGTATGATCACGATGTAAAATGAATCATATCAATCTAATCTGATTATAAAACTATAACAATCTTGAAATTTATACAATAAAACAGTCAAAACAGAACATCATAGAGACGCTTGTACAATTCTAAAATTTTTAAATATGACGTTGGTTATGTAGCTATTTACAACAGAGACTGCAAAAATATGCTTCAAATAAAAAGAGTAATGTGCGATATGAACTGGTACAACTCTAAAATTTCAAAGGTGATGACAGTTAAGATGTTACAACAACGATTGCGTGGAAATACATTCCCAACAAGCAATCTGTGAGTATTGCAAGGCAATACATAGTCCCCTACCGGTTAAAAATTCATTGTAATGGAGCAAACCTACCACTAGATTCTTCAAACAATTTACTAAAGAAAAGGACAAAAATCTTAAATGTCATTTATCTAACTCAATGTCTTTTACAAATCTTTAAAAAAAAATGAGTTATTTCCCGTTGAACAGAAATCTAGTAATTAATAAGTATTTCATTAAAAATCTAATTCTAGGGAAAGTTAAAAAAATGAGTTAATTCCCTTTGAACAGAAATCTAGTAATTAATAAGTATTTCATCAAAAATTTAATTCTAGGGAAAGGGCTTTAACTGAACAAGGAGAAAAGCTAAAATCGTGAAAATCAAACTTGACCTGTAACTTGTCATGAAAAAACAATACACCAAATATCAAATCAATATCTTCAAGCTTGAAGAAAAAAAGTCTGGAAAACTGATTTGCCGGACTGAAGGATGGACAGACGGACGGACGGACGGACAGACAGACAGAGTGCAAACCTAAAGTCCACTTCGACTTCGTCGGTAGGGGACTAATAAAAAGCACTGACGGATCCAAGCTAGTATAATATTTCAAATATGACAACTGTAGAGTAATTAAAACAGAGGCTGTGTATTTAAACATCCCAAATAGATAGCAGTTTGATAATGATTAAAAAAATAATAATAAATGTTGACTAAGGTTAAATAATTGAACGTGACTGCGTACTTATACATCCCAAATGAATAGAACCCTGTAATTTAAACTGGTATAATTAAAAAATTCCTTAAAACTGTAAGAGTCCAGTAAGGAAGCCTGAGTTACTGGAAACAAGTGATGGTAGGAAAATGAGTGATAGTAGGGAAAATGAGTGACTCATTCTGTTTTTTTCATTTATGCCCTCTGGGGAAACTGTCCTTAGCTTTCTTATCCAAAACCATTCCCGAGCGAGTCTGTCGGCCCTTGACCAACCCTTGTTGTGGTCTATGATTGTGATGGTAAGGTTTTTGAGATCAGCTTGGGCGTGCCCAGGTGATCTCAAACGACGACTACGGGGAGGTCGTGCTTGCAGGTGTAGACACTTCGATGGCCATTCATGCGTTTGTCGAATGGCTGTTCTGTCTCGACAACGTACTGCATGCCACATCGACACTGAAGAAGGTATACAACATTCTGGGTTTTGCAAGTTACATAGCAAAATATAGTGAAAACAGACCCAGTGGAGTGGCAAGTAAATGTTTGAGTATTCAGTATTTGTTGGCAAGTCAGACATTGTCTGTTACCACTCGACTTACACCATCTTGCAGTTGAACCGCTTTTATTAAAGGAGGCGTCAGCTCTCACAAACAAGTCTTTCAGACTTGCTGGTCTCCGAAAAGCTAAGACAGGAGGTTTGGGAAAGATCTTGGATAATTTTGGGTGCTTGGCAATAATTTGCAAATTGGCACGGATCAAACGTGAAAGGTTTATAGTAAAGGCGGGATTGCATGTTAAAACAAACGGGACTATTTTGCTGTGCCTCTTCTGTTTCTACTGTAATAGGTCATTGCGGCTGTTATTGTTAGCATGCCAAAACCCCTTATCTATGTCCCATTTCTTATAACCTCGTTTGGTAAAAAATCCACAAAGTTCCTATAACCATTTAGTGACAGCCTCCTCAGAGGAGCAAATCCACTTTATTCTGAGAGCTTGACTGTACTTTTTGTACAATGTTTGGGGTGACAGCTTTGGGGAGAAAGTAATGATGTTTATCTGTAGGATTACAGTAGAGGTCTGTTGATATGACTCCGTCCTTTATAGATGTAGTTGTGTCTAAGAAAGATATCTTAGAGTCGGAAATTTCATATGTAAATTTAATTGACTGGTGGGCGTTGTTTGCATGTCTGATAAAATCATCCAATTTTTGTTGGGATTCAATCCATTTCATGTCAACATCATCGATGAAACCGAACCAAGATAGAGGTTTGGATAAAGATGTTGAAATGATTTGTTTCTCTAATTTGCCCATGAAAATACTGGCGTAAGACGGTGCCATTATGTTATATATACCCTGATTATTTAGACTTACCTAACCCATATGCTAATACTAGTGAAGTAGATTCCAGGCCAGCTGGTGATGTATGTATGCCTATTATGTTATATATACTCTGATTATAGTTAATAATAGCTTCTGTTGATACAGGCAGTTCTGGTATATAGGGTATAATTCCTTCCTCCCTGAAAGATAACATATATATATATAAGGTTTCAATAAGTAATATCAAACTCGCCTTTCTTGTCTTAATATAGTAAGAGAGTTTAAACAAAAAATAATTTTAAAAAGTTTATAAGTTTTTTAAGCACATGAGATCACCCCCCGTTTTTGATGGGGTTCATGTTGCTCAGTCTTTAGTTTTCTATGTTGTGCTTTATGTACTGTTGTTTGTCTGTTGGTCTTTTTCATTTTTTAGCCATGGCATTGTCAGTTTATTTTCTACATATGAGTTTGAATATCCCTTTGGTATCTTTCGCCTCTCTCTTATACTAAAGAAATTTGTGGCAAAGTCAATTTCAAGCCATAAAATAATATATTTAATATTAATTTTTTCATATTTAACTTGTTAAATAAAATAATTGCTATAAAATATCTGCAGGCATGAAACAAAAGAGTCTAGACAGGTAAATGTCCACAAGTTGTAATAAGAATGTCATTACTACATCATGTATATTGACTTACATTGTTTCCTGTGTTGGTATGACCGGTCGTCTTGGATCTATAAATGCTTTGGGTAAAGACAGTAGACCTCCATGGACCAATGCAACTGAAAAAATATTCTAGATCATGTATGGGTGACTTATATTTTTTTATATGTTAAACAAGACTCCTTCCAATTTCTTTCCAATTTTAATGAAACTTTCATTGTCAAATTCTTAATGATTTGATTATGCCAGTATTTTTACATACTTTTTTTTTGAATTCCAGATAGCAAGAGTTCACAATTAAATACAAAGAATGAACTTAAAACAATATATCTGAAAATTTGTAAAAAGGTAAGAGTCATGGGTCCAAAATCACATGAAATTGAAAAGAATTTAAAAAAAGAATAATTTAAAATAAAAAAAAAGACTTCAAAAAATATTTTATTCCTTGTGATTTCAAATTGATGTACCAAAAGAAATGTCTATGAATATTGTGAAAACCTTAATAAACTTTTCATACAACCAAATCTTAGAAACTGTTAACATAGAGGTACAATGTATTTCTTGCCGTTGTAGCATTTTTATAAACTTCTACAATTATTAACACTGCCAATGACAGAAAAGCATACCAAACGTTCCCTTCCATTGCTTAATTTGCCGACGAAATTCTACATTAATTTGTTGTTGTAAGCTAACATAAAGAACCCATGTGATTTACTTACACAAAACAGATTTACTGGTGATTCCTTTCTCTGTAATAGTGGTAGCCATTGTATATATAGGCATGGGCAATATAAAGGACTGTCTGAGGACCAGTGGTTCATGTGGTGCAGTATGACTTGAGAAGGCCGTAGAATTACTCTGTTCCTTTCCTTCAAACAGTTCTAATACTGATACTTCTTTCCTTCTACTTTTCTGGTTGTAATAATCATACTAGAAAAATATTTTAAGCAGTTTTTAAGTATATCAATTCAGAAATTAAGCTAGTTCATTTATTTGAATCAAACAAACTTAACAAATATTATCTCCTAGTAAACCTTCTTATATAATGATCAAATGGTAACGTTAAAGCTAAAAGTTTTATAGTCGTCATTATATAACTACATACCAAAGTAGCTGCACAATAAATTGAATCATAACAGAAAAAATGAAGACCAGTAAAATTTCAAAAGAATGTAAAAATCAGTTTAATATTAGCAGGATATCTTTCATGTTATTTTGTATCTCTTAGTGTTGAAATACCATTAAAAGGTGGCCAACAGGACCAAAACCAATACTGAGTGCTGTAATTCCTTCAAAAGGAAGTTATTAGGAACAAAGCCAATACATCAACAGGAATTAAGTATACTTAACATCATCAAAATCAGCCAAATATCACCTTCATTGTAAAATTCAGAGTTCTCCCCAGGGCCTTTTACCATCATGGTAATGTGATGCTCGGCGTTTTATGTTTCTGCATTTTGGCACTACGTTTCTGCATTAAATTTCCTACGTTTCTGCATTTTTATAGTACTCTTTTCCGCATTGTTTTTACATTGATTTTGTTAAAGGTTATTTACGATTCCGCATTTTAATTTTTGATGTATGCCACTTCCGTTTGTCAAATGGTTTCCCTCTAATTTGACACAAGTGTAAATTGATTGATTGTTTATTGCTAAATGACAAATATTTCATGCATGTTCAGGCAAACACAAGTTTAAAAGTCAGGTTTATAATATAAAAACGAAGAGTTGTGATCCACCAGAGTTCAAATCGGTGTGAAGTGGATGTAAGCAATTATAGGCAACCTTAAGGCCTTCAACAATGACAAAAACCCGATACTGTAAAGTAGTCTAGAAAAGGCCCGACATGAAAAGTGTGAAACAATTGTCAAATGGTTTCCCTCTTATTTAACACAAGTGTAAATTGATTGATTGTTTGTTGCTATTTTTTTATGCCCAGTGACAACTATTTCATGCATGTTCAGGCAAACACGAGTTTAAAAGTCAGGTTTATAATATAAAAACGAAGAGTTGTGATCCACCGGAGTTCAAATCAGTGTGAAGTGGATGTAATCACTTAAAGGCAACTTTAAGGCATTCTACAATGACAAAACCCGATACTGTAAAGTCGTCTAGAAAAGGCCTGACATGAAAAGTGTGAAACAATTCAAACGAAAAAACTAACGGTCAAATTATACACAGTTAAGAATATGACAGGGTTGATATAAAACCAAAGATTTGGTATGATGTCAATGAGCCAACTCTCCACAAGAGACCAAATTACACAAGTATACTTTAATAAAATAAAGTCTTATATATCATTATTACCATTTTTTACAGGTGAAATATAGGTAAAAATGTGGAAAGGTGGTATCTATTTATTTCGGAAAAGTAATGCACAAAAATGCAGAAAAGTGAAACTGGATTTTTGCTAAAAATGTGGAAACGTAATACGCCCGTGATGCTATATTCCTAGAATGTGATGCTATCTGAGATTATTATGTTAAAGATTGTGTTATGGATGTGATGCTATCATTTCTAGAAATAAGATGGTATTTTAGAATTCCCTGTTTACCAGGATGCTATATGAAATTTGTGGGGAGAACACTGAAATTGAATGAAAGATTGCAAGACAGACATAAGAAAAATTATCTTACATGAACATTTGGTGGCAAAAAAAAATGTTCTAATCATTGAGCCAAGTTTGCCTTAATGCATTTGAGAGGAAATATTTAACATTACCATATTTTCCATATGACCAACTACTATGTTTTGCATATTATTTATTAGACTTCAGACATACTGAATCTGATGGTGAGAACTATTCAATCTGCATAATAAAGTTTTGCAAATATCAAAACTATCAACCTACCACTACCCAGTTCTCACTATGTATAATATGAACTGGTCCTTTAGCTCTTCTATGGTTTCCATGGAAAACAATATGACCTTTGACACTGTCAATTAAGTAGATATTCACAAAATTTCCTGGACCTGCTGAAACAATTTAAATAAATAAGTATTCTGTAAATCAACAACCTTTTTACAATTGTGAACAAGATATATAAGACTAAAATATTTGACACACTAAGGTTTTTTTTACCCCCAGGCTAGATTGCCCCGCCATGTTTCGTACAGCTTAGAATTTTGATTTTCAATACTCTCAACTTTAAGTTTGATTGTCCTCCCAACTGTTTTGGCTCTGCACCATGGATGAGTCTTATGTAGACGAAATGTGGGTATCCAATTATATTCCTTGTATCTGTGATGAGTTTGTATTATTACTTGCATTTCTAGATTTATATCATTGGAATTAATGGTTGCAAAAAACTTAAGTCACTTGTCTAAGTAAATATCATATTGATAAAAATATAGGTTGCATCATTAAAACATACAGTTTATATATATATAGCTTGACATGGCATTGTCTGTTTATTTTCCACTAATGAGTTTGAATGTCCCTTTGGTATCTTTCTCCTCTATTTAATACTGTCAGACATTTAACATAACTGAAGGTGAGTACATATCGATTTCATGACATAAAATCATAAATTACATATTTCATCCAGGTCGTAAAGTTTTCAATGTGTGCTTTAACTAAAGTTGCAACTTCGAATCTGAAAGGCAAAGTTGATCCTGACAGTTTTGACTATTCTGTGTATGCCCTTTTAATTATTGCTCTAAAACTTTTTATATTTCTGGCTTGCGAAAATTTTGGTGTCTAGCATACATGAGGACAGCTATTCCCTATACAGTCTTGTTGGCAAGGAAATACTATAACCTTTTTTTTCCTCCTGGTTCAATTTATGGCATATATATTTGAAAAAAAGGAGCAGTTTACAATTGCTTCATGGCTATTGTTCTAAAAGGAGAACTTGATATTTTTTAAATGTCAATCTTCATCTATAAAAAATTTGTAAATAACCAGATCTTGATACCATAGATACACACATGACCTTAATATGTAAAACTTTGATGTTGATACCAAATACATTCTACTTCTAGTTGACAGACTTTTAAAAAAGTTATAACCATTGACAACCTTACTTTTCTGTGAAGAACTAGATGTATCTTCTCCTTCAGCAACAACAACTGCCAAATTTGGATTAATGTACTTGTACAAGACACTTCTGTCACCAAGGACACGACCTTGAGAGTGAACATGTTCTGAAAACAAATTAATGAAAGGATAAATGTATTATAATCTGACAGTCAAACACTGTAATTTTTCTATTTGATCATTTTCATAGTCTATTTCTTTAATAATTATCTCTAATTTTCAACATAATCTTTGAAAACCTTTGTTATTTGTATTTGATTTTTGATTTTTGGTGTTTTAACGCCACTTTTAAGCACTGCTTTTGGGCTATTTCGTGGCGGCCAGTTTTTATTGGTGGAGGAAGCCAGAGCGCCCTGTGAAAACCACCGACCGTCAATAGGAAAACTGACAATCCTAGTCAATTAAGATTGGAGTCGAGTGCACCCGCCCGAGCGGGGTTCGAACTCACAACCTCAGTGTTGACTGGCTAGTGATTACAGTAGTAACTACTTAGACCACTCGGCCACCGAGGCCCCTTGTTATTTGTATGCAGGTCAGCAAATCTAAAGGAAAGCAATCAACTCTTAATAATAATTTTATTTACCATAATTGTGTTGATGAAACCAGCAGGTTTATTTCCTTTGTACACTAGCATCATGGACATAGAAACACACTTACATAAAATAAATAAATATATTTGTTTCTCGTTTCTCGTTTTTATATAGATTAGACCGTTGGTTTTCCCGTTTGAATGGTTTTACACTAGTAATTTTTGGGGCCCTTTATAGCTTGCTGTTCAGTGTGAGCCAAGGCTCCGTGTTGAAGGCAGTAACTTGACCTATAATGGTTTACTTTTATAAATTGTTACTTGGATGGAGAGTTGTCTCATTGTCACTCATACCATATCTTCCTATATCTATATAATTACCATTGTATCTTTTAAACACTACATCTTTGATAATTTGCTGTTTCTTCTGTAGATTGACATTCCAAACTTTCTCTCCTTTTAAATCCTGCAAGATATTTTTATCAAATCATGCACATAAAAACCTCACATGGAAGCAATATGAATATTCAGCAGAAAGTTTGCTATGCAAAAGTATCAAATTTCTTCAATGGATTTCAATTGATTTCAATTTAAGCTATCTATGAGTAGCATATTCTAGGGAAATAAGGCATTTTAAATTAAAACACTAGCAATCAGGTAAAATGAAAGATTTTCTTTTCCCAGAGTGGAATCATGATAAATGGATGCAATATAAAATTTTATAGCAATCATATAATTTTACCCTTACATAAAAACTAAATTGTTCTTTGGTTTTTTTTTTGGAGGGGGGGGGGGGGGGGGGGGATTTTTTAGAAACAGGCCGAAAACCATTCTTAACACTCTAGACACTTGTACATTGTTGAAGAGCGTATACATATGCAGACCTCTAGATGTGTTATTGTTTTCTGTGATATTGGGTTATTGTCTCATTCGCATACACTCCAACCCCACAATTTCTTCTGTTCATATAATATATATACCTTCAGGATAAATAATTATTCAATGCAGATCAGTCGTTTTAAACAAACCAAATTATCAACAGTTGCATTTATTTTCCTTAAAGACCAAGAGATTTTACCAATATGCTTAAACATGTTAAAAAGAATGTATAATTAAAGAATGGAGGCAAAAAAATCACAAATTACTATACAGTAAATTAACACATTTTTTTGAGGGATTAATTTTTTCCTAATTTTGGGGTTAGTATAAAATCACATGAATTGATCCTAAGGAAGTTCATACTCTGAGACAAGAATAGAGTGAAATTAAGCCTTGTGATTTTGGAATGGCCCTTAAAATCCTGAAATTTAAACTCTGCAAGGATAAAGCACTTTACAATATCTTATTTCTCTAACCTTGCTGACTCTGTATCCATTCAACATCCCTTTATCTAAATCTACAACCATCATGTATAAAGAAGAGTGGATTCTACTTGCTACTGATTTGTAACTTGGAGGATAAACATGGATCTAAAATAAAACAAAAGTTGTCAGAAATCATAAATCACATAACGGCTGTACCATAAATGGAATCCAGGGACTGTACTTCTGAAATTTACCAAAAGTTGATTCTAAATATCTTTCAGATATACATATTTAATCATTGTGTCCTATAAAATGTCTATGAAAAACTGTTCATATTTACTAAATTAAAATGAAAGAACCTTTTAGGGACAAGCTCACATAAATCTTCTCTGAATTTTGGGTCCTCAATACTCTTCAACTTCGTACTTTATTTGGCCTTCTAAACTTTTTTGATTCAAACGTCACTGATGAGTCTTATTAATGAAATATGTGTCTGGCGTACAAAGTATAAATCTTTTTCAATGATTGTCGAAACATGGATAGTCATTTATTTTCGTTGATATTTGTTTTTGTTGTTTTGTCAAATTTTGCATACATGCCAATAGAAAATTCAACATTTAATTTTGAAAAGCCACAAAAACTGGTATTCCTACAACAATATTGAATCCACAGTATCCTGTTGCAATATTAGTAATATTCTTTAATGATCCTTCATTCAAATTTCTGGAGGTATCTGACAAAAATAAAGGCTTTATCATGGTAATAACAAAGTGATGACCAACAGACTGTTGAAAAACATTATACTCTCAGCAACTTTGTTGCATAGAGTAAGATAAAATGTTTTTATCTAAATATGTTGCATGTAAATGTATGATTGATCATATCAATTATATTGTGTTGCTATAATTTCTAATCTCCTGAGTGTGCTCCTGCTTATTTCATCAGTGATCCACTTTTGAATATTTATTTCATTTCAGTATACATTTAACTTTTTCATTGCTGTAAATATGGGTTACTTGTCTTGAGGCAGTCCCTTAAACAGTCTATAAATCATGAAAAAGCCCTGTTCAGTAGTAACTATTATATAATTATTACCTGATTATCAGAGTCCATTAGAACAATGCCTTTTAGGAAATTCTCATCCATTTCCCCCACCATGTAGGCTTGTTGTACATTATAACCTAGGTCTAGACCTTCAGGTGGCATATCTGACAATGCCACACCTGTGATGGGGTTAAACGCATACAATACACCGTGTCCTGTTTTCTGTAAAAAGAATATTTGTTTTAATATTTTAACACATCTTTACAGCACATGGCTTTGTAACAAATTATATTCAATCTGCAAAGCACTCAACAAAATGTTAGTGGTACACCAGTTCCTTAATAACGAGGGAATGAGTTTTCATCATCATTAATTTGAAAAAACATGTGCTTTGATCTTTGATACTTATTCAATAGGAATAATAGGGAATTCAGAAGAAAGCAAGAAATTATGTCGTCATAACTAAATCCTGACCAATTAAAAACTGTCACAGATCAAACAAACCACACATTGATTAACTAAAAGTAATCAACAGGTCAGGAAAATAATAAATAGACAGAGAAATATGTTTATTGATTGATTGATTGATTGGTGTTTAACACCACTTTCAACACTATTGTGCTATTTAGTGGGTCAGTTTTTATTGGTGGGGGAAGCCGGAGAGCCCTGAGAGAACCACCAACCTTCGGTAGGAAAACTGACAATCCTAGTCAATTAAGATTGGAGTCGAGTGCACCTGCCCCGTGTGGGATTCGAACTGACAACCTCAGTGTTGACTGGCTAGTGATACAGTAGTTTGACTACTTATACCACTCGGCCACCGAGGCCCCTAAAATATGTTTATCTAATTTACACTCAATAATACTTTTCATGGAAATTTGATTATTTTTATAATCAATGTCTGGTTTGTTTCATTTCAATTTTTTGTGTTAAAATTATTGAGTCAAATTTTCCTGCTTTCCTCTGAATTTGCTATTGTTACAACACAAAAAAGGCATCCATGCTGGATGACGTCTCAGATAAAGAAATTATTGGGCAGATGATAGAAAAATAACGATAAAGTTTGCTAGCATAAAGTCTAAAAATCATTATAGAAACTGATTCCACCATAGTATCTTGTATGAAATGATATTTGTACACACTCAAAAGTTCAACTTCAAATATTCTAATAACTTTAATATGATAAGGGACTGACGGACGAACACATAATGCCTCTTTACTATCGTAGGCTGTGCATACCAATTTTTATATCTCTAGTTGATAAAAAATTGTTATCAACAGGGTGGGGTTGAAGAATCTACATTTACTTTCTAGAAGGTATTAAAATTATAAGATATAGTTTTATAAGTATTTCTCTCTTTAATGGTTTTAACAAGCTTTAATTAGTTTTACTTCCCCTTCATTTTTTTTTAATTACTCTCCACAATGATCATAGTATGCTATGGTTTGTGTACATTTCATATATAAATACATATAAGAAAGGTTTAACACTAACAATTTTTTTTACTTGCAGGAAAGAATATATATATGATTTCATCTTGTATTTTCTTTAAAAACATACATGGCACTTAGGGCAGGATAATTTATATCACATTTAAAATGAAGTTTCTAAAATTACTTTTCTGTGCAACATAAGATATAATTCATAGGATGGCTACTACATTTATCAAGTGCCTTCCCTTAGTAGTTTGTAACATGCTTGTTTATATAAAACAATCCCTACTATCAGTATTTTGTTTGAAGAAAGTTATTTGCCATATCTTGACTTTTATGTATATTTACTCTCTATTTCAATTTTAAGAAACAATTCCTGAATCTGATTTTCTTACACAATACTATTTCTTCTAAAAATATTTTTTGAGGAAGTTTACATAATGTTAATGAATGCATTTACATAAAATACATACCATATCTCTGCCCAAGATTGCACACTGTGGTGGATTAGGGAAATGTGCTGTGGTACGTTGGACAAACAATGGTAATGATTTTTTATATCTATCAAAGGGAGATAACTTAGGCATGAAATGGGACCAAGCTATTTTTCCATTGGTACTCTTCATTCCATAAATCTACAAAAAATAAAAATATTTGAATTCTATTATTTACTATGGTAAAGGCTCTACATTAGAACTGTGTTTTTAATATTTGGTGGCATGATAATAGATTTAACATTTGCAAACTGAGATTGCAGGTGTGATAGCACTATTATCTCCAATCTGCATCAGTAAAAATAAAAGCTAGCATTTTGAATTAGTAAAATTTGGCAGGATAAATTCTGAATTTTCAAGCAAGAGGAATGATTAATTGCTGACATTCAATTCAATTTCTGTTCTTAACAGATATTACTGTGGTAAACACTTGTTTTGCTTACAATTCCAACAACAGTTATGGCTTTCTTTCCTAACTGATGCCGCTATAACAACCATTTAAATGATCTTACCTTCCCAGCAGACGTCACAATTACAATCATCTTATTCAGGTTAAATTCATCCCTAGTCATTTCTTCATCTTCATCCTCATCTTCCTCCTCTTCAACAGATCCATCAGAGTTTTCCATCAAATGATGTCTGTGACCTTGAAGTTTGTGAAGCTGTTTTTGCAAAAACGTCTATTTAAAGAAAAGAAGAGGGCTTAAACCAAATCAATATGATTTCAACAAACATATGGATTTTTGCTTCTCATATTTTTTCCCCTTTTCCTTAGTTCTGTGTATACTTTCTGATCGAGTGATGTAAAGTATTGAAATTTTTGGCCAAGCAATTCCTAATTTTCTGTATTCTTTATAAACATGCATCTTTAGTACAATTCTGGTACAATAGTTTGCTATTTCCATATTTTTTTCCTCCAGTTTACCATTTATGCCATAATATTTGGCCAATTTCTTTTTGCATTTCACTAGATAATTGTATTTTTGTTTTAATTGTTTTACCTTTAACTCCATTTTCAATTCTTTAGTTCTGTATATTTTGTATTTCCTTAAATAATACGTTTCTTATCCACTTTTAAACAACTTTTTCTAATTTCTCTTATTCTCGAATCAATCGCCTTTTCTTACCTTTAATTGAGAGAGTTGTGTACTTAATCTCTTTACAAACATAGTTCCGATATCATCTACAACAGAAAGTAAGTAAGCCTTTAATTCAATTTAACAAGTTCATGATTTTTTTATTGATTCAATTTCCGTGACATTCCTATCTTTAATTCTAGAAGTATTCCGTTGTACATTTCTAGTCAGAGGAATATTTTGAATATATCTGGTATAAGGTATGTATAGTTTTTCAAAATGTAGATTAATTTTCCTGAAACCTTGAAAAAATTGATACAAAGCACAGTATAACAAAGTAATGTAGTGTTATTATTATTCATGTAAATTTTTGCCTCATATCAAACCTATTTATTCTAAACTGTTCAATAAATTTTACCTTTGTGAGATCCAAACTCTTCTTCAAATTTGGCCTGGTTTTCAGACACAGGAAGGTCAATCATTTCCACAGACATGATGTATGCCATAGCTTCCTCATTAGTCCATGATACTTTACCTGTCAATTTAATAAGAACTTCATTTCACTCTTATGCAAATATTATGTGTATTGCTTTAGCTAGTGGTAACTTATCCAAACTTTATATTTTTAATCACTTCAACACAGATTCAAATTATTTTTTTCCAATACACCTTATCACTATTTGTCTGCCATTACTGGACATCACAAAAGTTCCCATAAAATTTTGAAGTCATCATAGAAAATATCTGACGCCACAATCAAAAAGTGATTGTTGTATGACATCAATAGTTGAAGAGGCACAGATTTCCAAATAGCAATAAGGTCTATTCTTCATTCATAAAGTTACATCTCACTAAATGTCTTATATTCCTTAACAAAAAATCAAATAAGATAAAAAAAAATTTCAAACTTGTATGTTTCTTTATTTGGTATGTAATCTTCTATTGTATTATTTCTCTTGGATTAACTAAATGAAAGCATACATGGAAGTACGTTTTTTTTCAAAACACCTCTTAAACTTGTTTAATTCAAAATATGAAAAAGGAGATGTTGGGTATTCATCAATAAGACAGCAACCCAATGATACAAAACACATCTAGATTAGTCTTTCTATTTACCCATTTTCTGTACCATCTGTAGAGAGTAATCTTCTGACTGTAAAGCCAGTTTGTATCCAATTCTACCATCTTTCTTTCTCACTAAATATCCATATGCCTGAAAAATATAGTACCATGCTGTACAATTTAAACTGGACATCTTTCACTGTATATGCATGCTTAGCAATAAAAGCGCTATCCCTTTCCTTTTTGTGTATTTTTTTGCTGTGCATGTACTGATTTTGTGTCATGGATAGATACCCCATATCCTTTGTTTTTCTATTATATAAATTAATCAAGAATGCATTAGTTGTCATGCTAAGCATACCCCACTTGTAATTCAAAGTATCTGGAAACAAGAAGAAAGTGTCTGACATATCCATAAGGGGTTCACACTTTATAAACGTATCACTGTTGAGCTGCTGACCAATATAAAGTCATTCTTTTTTAGTAGTATTGGAGGAAATGTGTGACAAAAAATTAAAAGTTTCTTAAACATATCAGAAAGTTTAAAGTATCAGAAAGAAATTAATTAATTGACAGATGGAAAAAGTGCTCACAGGTAACAAGTCATTACTGTCAAACTGCAGACACTGACTTTATGATGAAGAACAGCAATAAATGCACTGTTCCTGACAAACATATGTGCTGGACTAAAATACAAACAAGGCAACTGCAATAAAGCAACCTCTCTTAGAGTAGATGTATAATTCAATATACACTTACTTATATAGATCCCTAAAAGAATGACTGCCTTGAGGCCCAAATCACTCATTACATTATGCAAGACCTACTAAACCAATAACAAAATCAATTAAACTTGTCAGAAATTCTAATGCACATAATGTATGCTACTTATTCTGTATTTATACTAATCTAGCATCCCAATCCTGTAAAAGTACATTGTTAACCACTGAATCTACACACAATCTTTGTGAATTGATCATGTGTAAGTCATATGACATTCATACACAAGTTGTATTACAGTCATTTTTACAACTTTACCTTAAATGGCAAACCATGGCTTGGACCTGCACTTATTTTCTGTTTTAAATCTGTAATTTCACCTCCAGACTCAAGGTCATATCCAGTTAAGGTCAACTCCTACAAAATATAAACAATCCTGCATAAAAAAAAAGTGTACATGTTTCATATTTTCATGTAAGTATTTTTTTTAATATATATGGTGTTTTGTGTGCTGTACTTATGTATTCAAATATGACATGTATGATTTGAGTGTAAGTGCATAACATATACCTAAATGTATACACACTGAGATTAACAATTCATGGTTAAGATCATTCAATATTTGTTTTTACATGGGTTAATATGAACATATGACACTGATACAAATGGGTATCTCGTAATACACTCAGTTGAGTAGACTTAAGACCAGAATATTAACATGTTGAGTGTGAGTAGTAATTGGAAGAGGATCAAAAGATTGGAAGAACAAATATGTTAAACATTTGCAAACATGTAAGCAAACAAAAGAAGAATGTGTCTGAGGACACAAATGCCCCCTCTCTAGCTTGCTTATAGTACTTGAAAATACTTTTTGAGAGCATTTGATGCCACTGCTATTTTTTAAAGAGTTCTATTGTTCTAGTCTTGGGTCATAGCATTATGTATGAGTTTCATACATGAGGCAAACTTTAGGAAAAGTTGAGTGCAGAAACCAAAAAAAGTGCAATTTTCCAAGTTATAAAGGGCATAACTCTAGAACGGCACGTAACTCACTGTCCCCATTTGAACTCTGTCTGCAAGTTTTGATTCTTAACATTGTGTATGAGTTTCATAAAATTTGAAAGAGGAAAACTTAAGTTAGAGTGCAGAAATGAAAATGGGATGTACGAAAGGACTGAAGGAAGGACATTCAAGGGTAGCACTTAATGCCCCCTATGTCTAGCCAAGGGGGCATAAAAACGGGCGCCTCAACAGACTTGAAACAAATAGAACTGTTCATTTGTACAATGCATGAAAAAGAGTCACTGAAGCAAATACATCTCAAAGCTCATGAATAATATGCTGACAAGTCTGAATCCTTGTCAGTGATTGTCTGATGTTATGTCGTACTGTTTCTTCTCATTATAAGAAGTTAGAGAAGCTGGGAGAACTTTGGTGATCTCATACATTTATTCCAAACCTATCTAGACTCAAGGTGACTTAGAGCTTGCCATATGGCATAGACAATTATATTTTGTTGAAGACTGTATGTTGAACACAAGATATTTTGATTTTTTGTGTATATGAGTTGTGATACCCTGTATATAAGGTATCTAATAATAATTACCTGATCTCCAGACTTCTGTAATGTCAGGAGAACTTCTTTATTTTCCAGCTTGGTCACTTCTGCTGCTGATACCTACATGTATGATACAACAGGTGATCAATAACAATGTCTGTCTCATTAAATATGTGCATAATCATAACACTTGAGCACTTTTATAAACAGTTTCAAATAGTTGAACATCAATTTGGCTGCATTGGCAGGAAATAAAACATTTTCTCCTAATTTTCATCATTTTGGACCATGCAAGACCCTCATGGGTAGTCAAGGTCGTTAAAAAAAAACCCTCGTTGTTGTCCTCATCACAACAGAATACCATTGACACATTGAGAGACCATGATGATTTATTTGAAAAATTTATGGTCGGTAAACTGGTCTAAATTCAAGGTCAGTCTTATCAAAGTTACTGAACAAGCTGAAGGTCAAATTGGTGTATTTTTTGTGATTTGTAAAAAAATTGATGTAAATACCAATTATAATCATTTTGAAGATAAATTTCTTTAGAAATGTGACTTTAGCATAAGGAAAAATTATTTGTTTTAGCATTTTTAATAATTTGTATTCCAATAGGTATTTGAATTTGCATCAAACAACCAATTAGATAAATAAAAACAATCATTGAGAATTATGACTGTTTGCAGATTAAATTAATCATAAAATAAAAAATTAGGTACCAAAATTTCCATGAGTCTTATGTTTGTGGCCACGGTACACCTGTTTTCTTTGAGTACTCCATGTAAAATAAGGAATCTACAGTCAAAACTTACAAACTAATTAACAGTAGCTTATTTCATGTAAAGACTGATATTGTTTTTAACTTACACTTGGTAGCTGCTTAACAACTTGCAACTCATTCTTCACTATCTTCAAAATAGCTAAATCATTTCTCCCAAGTCTAATCAACAGTTCAGAGTAGTCTCCCCTGTTAGAAACTGGTTCCAACACAACTGTTCCAGAAGGAGTCAGACCAAGCTCCTACAATGAAAAACCACAAATATTTCTGATGTTATTTACAATATACTAAACAATTACAAATATGTGTACGTGCCATTTATCTTAACTTTGAGTCAACCAATCTCAACATCACAAAGCCATTAATCAGACATTTCTAATAAGTTCAATAGAATAATAGGGACAAATCAATCGACAGCTAGCAAATAAAAGAAGAATGTTTAAGGACACGAATGCCCCCGCTCAAGCTTCAAACAAACGAAAATGGAACGGACAGACAGATGGAAAGAAGGACAGTCAAGGGTAACACTTAATGTCCTCGTTGCCTAAGGCGGAGGCATAAAAAAATCAGAATAGTGCTAGGGGCTGTCTTGAACTTAAAGTGCAATTTGAAGTGTAGATTTTTGTCATGTGTTTTAGTCTAATTGTGGCTTTGAAATGAAGAACACCAATAAAAATCTTGTTAATTTTGGCTTTTGTTTTTTCAAAGATGACAGGGATTTTGTTTCATGATGTAATAAACCTTATCCTTCTTTTCCATTCCAATTTATTATCGTCCAACTCATTTCTGTACCTTTTTCAAATTTAAATATGGACCATAAGTTTTAAGTATCCCTGTGGCTCTTAAATAGTTCTTTAGTTTTTTAAATTATTATATCATACACATGTCACTACAATGGCAACAAGTTGCCTCATTTCCATTTAGTTTAATTTTATCATCAATTGTACACGTGTTATAAAATGAAATATTCCGATCAGCCATAATGATTTCAATAACTGGTCCAGAAAAATCTTTCTGTAACAACCTCAAATCATTTACAATGGACTTTAATCAACAGGGCAAGCAAAAATCAAACCACAGTTCTAATGTAGCTGCATGCCCATGTTGGTTGATAAATTATACACATGGTTATCAACTTCGTAAGCCAACAATGAAATAAAGAACAAATGATAAAGTATATATATTTTAATTCATAACAAAATATGCCACATGAACAATTTATCAAGTCACTGCAAGCACTTGACAATTTGACGGTCTCCATAAAAAAAAATCCAGATTTAATTTTTTTTTCACGCTTGCCCTGAAACACTGAAAAAATACATACATAAAGCGCACCTGAGTATAACAAGCAGGGACAATGACAGAGAAAAAAACCTGCGGCTTATTTAACGGTATATATTTCAAAAACGCCTTTGATCTCCATATGATACCACCATTGGCCTCAATGTGATAAAGCAGTTCATAAACAATGTCATTATAATAAACTTACAGATATATCTGTTGGTTTGAAGACAGGACCACTGACCAGGTCTAACAGTTGTAATGTTGAGGTGTCCTGTTTGAAGCATAAGTAATAACTGCTGTCTACAACCTCACAGCTAAAAAGATACAGTCAAAATAATTCACATGGATATCGGCTATTTTTTGTAATCTAATACAAGATGGTTGAACTTAGCAGTAGGGTTGTAAACAGTGCTAACAAAGTTATTCCCATTATAAATCTATGGACCTACAACAACAAACTATATATATACACATTATAAGCAATTATATATCTACTATTTTCAGTTAATTTCTTATTCCATCTGCATACAAACTTATCCAGTTGTTATCTGTCAGAAATATTAAAGAATTAAATAACTTAGGTATATTTTTAAATCAGCAGAAGAAAAAGGAATTTAATTGCATTACATAGTATATTTGTTCTCACATATTGTGTTTATTAAACTATATCATTCTATGCTCATATTTTGTATTACCTATTATACAATTACTGTCTTTTGATGAGGTAAATATGCGGTTTTATTGACTTTTGAAAAACTGATATTCACTGAGGCCGACGGCCGAAGTGAATATCAGTTTTTCAAAAGTCAATTAAACCACATATTTACCGAAACAAAAGACAGTAATTGTTTTATTCCATATTCCGAGAGAAAACAATGTATTTAATGACAAATATTTACCCAAACCAATTGTACATCAAACATTTGACCATAACGTTACATGTAAAAGCGTGTGACGTTTAGAGCGGTGAATAACACTTTTCTCCAGGTGAATATGCTTTTTTATTTAAAATCCAATTCATATAGAGAAACCTACTAAAATAATACTAATATGGAATAATATATTTTATTTAATGTACACCATAATTATATTTATATATTGTGTATCTCAAGAATATGTTGTAAAAATTCTTAACATTATGTGTATGTATCCTATAAGCTGTATTGCTTTTGGAATAAAGTATTATTATAATTATATTCATACTGGTGTAGTTTGAGTGCACATGTAATTCAGAATAAAAATACTACATGTATTGCTAAAGTGCCTTCATTATGTTATGCACAGAAATATTTTGTTATTGTTAATGCTAAAGTTTTTAATTGCTCATTTTATTTTGAATCTGTGCATCTTTCCAATTACAATAATACAAGTTTGTAATTAATTAATGTCCAGAACTTTTCATACATTCCTTATGTTTGAATGGTTTATCAACTCTGATAAAGCAGTAGGATTCTTTATTGAAAGGACACATTTTTATGAAGGAAAATCACAACTGAAATTATGAATAGAGTTTTTTTAATTGGTAGCCAAATACTGTCTCATTCACAACTTCAATAAAAACATTGCAATAATTAATGAATTTACATTAGTTGTAAAATACTTTTATCCCTCCTTAAACTGTCACTTTTTGCATCTACTTCCTTTTTTAACAATAGAATGAGCATACTTTCAACATGGATAGAAAATTTAAGACCTCAAATGCCTCATTTTATATTCAATTCAGACATTTTGTCAGCACTAGGACTAAACTATTGAATCATTTACATGGTAATTTAAGTGAAAATATAATGACACAGCGAAGGAAAAATGAACTTTGATTCAAGAGATCAAGGCAGTAATCTTGGATAGTACTGTTTCTAAAACTAGTTCATACTATGTAATAACAAATAATCTAGTTGTAGACAGTACATAAAAGTGATATTTAGTTAGAGTAATTTCCTCACCTAGTTTCCTTGGAAATCCATGCAGCAGGAATTGACTTCTGTGAACTGATAACTCCTTCATTATTGGCCTTAACTATGGTTACATGTGCTCCAGCTAAGTGACCAATGGCTATTACCTCATTTCCTCTTACTATAACACGGTCAAATACAGTTCCATCACTAAAACATATAAGGGAGATATAATAGTCAGAGTCTTCATATTCGGAAGTCACAGATTATAGCCGAGTAATTGTAATGCAAGTTCAATCACTTCTTTACACAAGAGTGCACACGCTGAAATGTCTCGCCTTCTTTACTAACCATTGATTTTATGTTGATAGTCCTAAATACAAAGCTTTACTACAAGTAACACATAAACTTAACATGATCCAAGAAAATGAGGTCAAGGTCAGATAAACCAAACGAGAAATACATGTACACCTTACAATCATTCAATAAACCAAACATAGTTGACCTATTGCTTATTGTTTCTAAGAAACAGTCTTAAACAAGAAAACTTAACATGGACCAATGAACCATGAAAATGAGGTCAAGGTCAGATGAACCATGCCAGACAGACATGTACACCTTACAATCAATTTAGGCATTACATATAGTTGACCTATTGCTTATAGTATCTAAGAAACAAACTTAACCATGAAAACTTAACATTGACCAATGAACCATGAAAATGAGATCAACGTCAGATGATACCTGCCAGACAGACATATACACCTTACAATCCTTCCACACATCAAATATAGTTGATCTATTGCTTATAGTTGAAGAAAAACAGACCAAAACACAAAAACTTAACACTGAGAAATGAACCGTAAAAATGAGGTCAAGGTCAAATAAAACCTGTGAGACTGACATGTACATCATTAAATATTTCCATACACCATTTATAGTTGACCTATTGCATATAGCATTAGAAAAACAGACCAAAACTCAATAAAATGCTCCGCAGGGCGCAGCTTGATACGACCGCAGAGGTCGAACCCTGAACAGTTGGGGCAAGTATGGACACAACATTCAAGCTTGATACAGCTCTGAATTTGGATTGTGATTAAATATTTGACACAGCATAGGTTTCTGACACAGAATGAATGTGGTCTAAGAACTTAAATATTTTTAATTGGACATTCACCTATTATGGTCCAATATCCAAAATCTAAATACATGGTTAGATTCAGCATATCAAAGAACCCCAAGAATTCAATTTTTGATGAAATCAAACAAAGTTTAATTTTGGACCCTTTTGACCTCAATGTGGACAAAGTTGATAATGGGGCCCAAAAATCAAAAATCTAAATACATGGTTATATTCAGCATATCAAAGAACCCCATATATTCAATTTTTGTTGAAATCAAACAAAGTTTAATTTTGGACCCCGATTTGGACCAAATTGAAAACTGGGCCCATAATCAAAAATCTAAATACATGTTTAGATTCAGCATATCAAACATGTCAAAGAACCATAAGAATTCAATTTTTGTTAAAATCAAACTAAGTTTAATTTTGTAACCTTTGGACCTTAATATAGACCAATTTGAAAACGGAACCAAAAATTAAGAATCTAAATACACGGTAAGATTCGGCATATCAAAGAACCCCAATAATTCAATTTGATGAAATCAAACAAAGTTTAATTTTGGACCCTTTTGACCTCAATGTGGACCAATTTAAAAATGAGGCCCAAAATCCAAAAACTTAATACACGGTTAGAATCAGCATATCAAAGAACCCCAAGAATTCGAGAATAAAACCCCATTGAAATTAGTCAAGAAATAAGCAATTTATACGAAGTATCTTCTTTTGCACAATACTGTGCAATTGAATATTTCTTGCTATTGCGCAATACTGTACAATTGACAATTTCTTGCTATTACGCAATATTGTGCTATTGGATATTTCTTGCTATTGCACAATACTGTGCAATTGAAGATTTCTTGCTATTGCGCAATACTGTGCAATTGAAGATTTCTTGCTATTGTGCAATACTGTGCAATTGAAAATTTCTTGCTATTGCACAATACTTATTATATAATAATTCACACATCCTGTTTGGTGTGTATCTCCTACCATATCATTATTATTTGCTTTTAAATATAAAACAGAAATAACCAACTTAAAATGGAAAATTTTAAAAGAAAAAAAAAGGAAAACCCCCCCCCCCCCAAATCTTTTGAACCCCCTTATGATTCATCACCCCCAAACTCAATCCCAGCCTTCCCTTTGTGGTATGGTACCTTGCAGTACAATTCAGAAAGATCCATACACTTACACACAAGTTATTATCATGAAACTAGAAAAATGCTTGTTTTTTGCCCCTTTTTTGGCCCCTAATTCCTAATATTTTGAGGCAATTACCCCCAAAATCAATCCCAGAATTCCCTGTGTGATATGGAACCTTGTAGTACAATTTCAGAGAGATCCATACACTTGAACACAAGTTATTGTCTGGAAACTAGAAAAATGCTTATTTTTGGCCCCTAATTCCTTAACTGTTGGTACCATAACCCCCAAAATCAATCCCAACCTTCCTTTTGTGGTATTGAACCTTATGGTAAAATTTCATAGAGATCATTCACTTAAACTAAAGTTAGAGTGCGAAAACCAATGTGTCTTCGGACGACGCCGGACGACGACGCCAACGTCATACCAATATACGACCGCAAAAATTTTTTGCGGTCGTATAAAAACTAAACTTTGACCACTGAACCATGAAAATGAGGTCAATGTCAGATGACACCTACCAGTTGGACATGTACACCTTACAATCATTCCATATACCAAATATAGTAGACCTACTGCTTATAGTATCTGATATATGGACTTGACCACAAAAACTTAACCTTGTTCATTAATCCATGAAATGAGGTTGAGGTCAAATGAAAATTGTCTGACGGGCATGAGGTCCTTGCAAGGTACGCACATACTAAATATAGTTATCCTATTACTTATAATAAGAAAGAAATTAACATTACAAAAAATGTTGACTTTATTTTCAAGTAGTCACTGAACCATGAAAATGAGGTCAAGGACAATGGACATATGACAGACGGAAACTTCGTAACATAAGGCATCTATATACAAAGTATGAAGCATCCAGGTCTTCTAGCTTCTAAAATATAAAGCTTTTAAGAAGTTAGCTAATGCCGCCGCCGCCTGATCACTATCCCTATGTCGAACTTTCTGCGACAAAACTCGCAGGCACGACAAAAACTGTCAACTGTAGAGCCTACCATACAGCTAGGTCGCTGGTCCATTGTTGAAGATGTATGATGACTTCTTAATGTCTATTTTGCCTCAATCTGATTGAAATACACATCCTATGTCCATGCTACCCTTACAAGTCTGTGACAATGCTCCGTTTTACTTTCTGTTTTAAAGACCTTCAGGGATCCTCTGGTTTTGTCGTAATGATACACACCTTCAATATCTTGGCCGATATTATAATTACCAGAACAGAAAGTAGAACGTTTTCATATCCTTGCAAGTAAAGTGAGTACCAGTACACAGGACATGTACTTCAATCAGATTGTATTTTGCCTTGACATCTTTTTTGTGTCCATGGGTTGCTGTCTCATTGACATGACTTACTCCACATCTTCATTTATAAAGAAATAAGATTCTTTAAACATACCGCCAAAGATGGAAGCATTTGATGATAAGAGATATAAACTGTTGACACAGACTGACAGAGTTTATGTCTCGCCTGTCGGCATAAATTTCAGAAAAAGACAATCTGATGGACAGAAATATTGCTAATTTATTCAATGTCGCTGCACTAACTAGTAGGTAGGGCCACCAAATGGTTGACAAACTGAGATGTGCAGACAGCAATGTAACTTTATAGAAAATATCGTCTATTGTAAGTAGTTCCTATCAAACTAACTTAATCATAAAACTTAACAATGAAAATTGTTAATTGATTGAAAGTCACTGTACCATGACCTAGGGGGGCAGGGCCTTAAAATAGTCGTCAAACTGATATGTACTGATAGTAATGCAACTTTAAAGAAAATATCATTGATCTATCGCAAGTAGTCAATATCGAACTAACTTTATTAAGCAGAAAACTTGTCATTGAAAATTGCTAATTACTTGAAAGTCATTGAACCATAGCCTAGGGGGCAGGGCCTCAAAATAGTCGTCAAACTGATATGTACTGATAGTAACGCAACTTCAGACAAAATATCATTCATTTATCACAAGTACTTCCTATCAAACTAACTTAAGCAGAAAACATAACATTGAAAATGGCTAATGAAATCAAAGTCACTGGACCATGGCCTAGAGGGATGGGCCTCAAAATTATCGTCAAACTGATATGAACTGATAGTAATGCATTTTCATACAAAATATCAATGATCTATAACAAGTAGTTCTTATCAAACTAACTTAAGCAGAAAACTTAACAACTGTTGACACCGTCATCGCTGTCGCTGGAAAAGCAATCCCTATGTCTTGCTTTCCGTGACTTTCGTCGCAGGCGAGACAAAAACAGCTCTTACCTGTTTGGCAGTGAAAATTTCCACTTCTGTTTTCCATTCATTAAATCATAACTATATACTCCATAATGTGTCAGTGCTATCACTTGATCTGAAATAGTTTCATACCTTTGAAAGTTAATGTCATATTCATCAATAAATGACCTTTGACATATAGAATGATTGCATTTTTGTTTTTGATACTGTATTTTCAGCAAGAACATCAAGCGAGCTCAATTGGGGAAAACTGAATTCGTCATTATCAAAAAATAAAATGCCATTACCGGTAATTTTTTAAACTGGCAATTTGTCTTAGAAATATTTTTTTTATGTCTATTGGGGTAGAATAGGCAATTACACAAAGTAGTTTAAAACTTTTCTTATGCTGACAAAAATTTGCAATAGTTTTTTGCATAAAAGATGTCTCTTGCATTTTATTGATAAAGGTAGGCCAATGGATATGAAAAACGTGACACAGCTTAATATTTTTGAGTATCACCTCTTTTCCACAATAAAAAAAAACTATTAGGCAATTGGATCTAATAGAAAATGTACATGTTGCTGATTAAGTGAAAATATTTGTCAAATACAAAGATATGCAGTATATCTTAACCATATCCAAGTATCTAACCGACTTAAAATGTTCTTAAAATGTAAAATTCTTTAATCCTTTGTTTTTTATTTGATTAAGTTTCCTTATCTGAGAACTTAAAATTTATGCATCCAATCAAGCAACTCACTCCTGCTGGTTTCAAATATCACATCACATTCCCTGTTTCAACCAGAAAAACAGAGTTAATTATATATAGTAATGGGAAATCAGCAGAATATTAATTTTTAATGATGGTAACTTTCTTCATCTCCAACAAGAAAATATTCAACACAAAATACACCAATGATGAGTTCTAGGACTTTAATGCAACTGACCTTATTTCTAAGATGGTTGAACTAATGCTATTTGATAATCCCATTTGCTGTAACTGTTCAAAATTATATGCAAAAAGATTTATTTTCTTTAAATGCAAATAGATCAAAATTAGCGTATAAATATAGAATCCACCACTGCATCAAGCGTGATATGATATTTATCCACTAGAGATAGTTAAATTTTAAAATTTAATTGGCAAGGCTCGCCGAGCGTTTCAAATATCTAAAACTTAACTGTCGTGATTGGATAAATATCATATTGCACTAGATTTGGTGGGGGAATCTGTTTCTCTAATGATTTTAGGACGATATGTAGAAAAATTTAATTTATCTTTTCGAAAGATCTGCAAAACGATGTGTTCCTTCAATGTGACGTCATCAGGCATGGTCACCTTTTTTCATGATGTCACAATGGGAATTTCAGAGGAAAGCAAGAAAATTTGACGTCATAATCGAATTTTAACCAATGAAGAACTGAGATCAAACGAACCACATGTTGATTAAATAAAAATAATCAACAGGTCGGGAAAAGGATAAATCGGGTAAGAATTAGAGTATAAATTAGCTTACCATTGCCTTTGATCTTTATATCAGCACTGAAAAAAGAGAATAGATATATAATAATTCATCTTGTTAATACATTATATATTTAGTGGAATAAAATGTATTTCAAAATAATAGTAAACAAGATATAAATTCAAAGTCTTGTTGTCAAATACAAAGCTATGCAGTATATTTAACCAGATCCATGCATCTAGCTGATTTTACATTTTCTTAAAATGCAAGTTCATTAAAGTTTTCGGTCCAAGGAATAACTATATTGTATTTTATAAATCCTTGCTACTTCCTGCCAGTGCTATAGTTACTGCAAATGAGTTTTCTTAATGACATAGGGGGCAGATATTTACACACTGTATCCAGAGAATTTTTAGCAGACATAATTTTTTAAGATGTCATATATATATATATATATATATATATATGTAATAAGCAGTTTGCACAGGTCTGCTTTCATCAATATAGCTGATTTACACAGCAAAACAGTTCACTGCAGAACAAGAATGTATCCATAGTACATGATGCCCAACTCGCACTATTATTTTCTATGTTCAGTGGACCGTGAAATTGGGGTCAAAACTCTAATTTGGCATTAAAATTAGAAAGATCATATCATAGGGAACATGTGTACTAAGTTTCAAGTTGATTGGACTTCAACTTCATCAAAAAGTACCTTGACCAAAAACTTTAACCTGAAGCGGGACAGACGGATGAATGGAGGCACAGACCAGAAAACATAATGCCCCTTCAACTATCGAAGGTGGGCCATACAAATTTCTAATTCTCTGGCAAGTGCAAATAATTTTCCACAAAAATTTCCAAGCTTACAGAAATAAATGTAGTACTGGTAATTGCAGGAATTCATATTAAAATAGAACTCTGACTTAACTGGCTACATACTATCTACCCTTATCTCACTATGCAATTTGTGAATATTTATCCAGCTAAACATTCCAGTATTAACTTTATCCTATCTCATTACCTACCCTGGTCTAGCTATGTGATGGACTGTATTTTCCCAGCTGAGGGCACCAGTTTCAACTTTCCAACTCCTAACATATCTCCCTCCACCACAAACACCAACAAAATCTATTTTAAAGAATATTTATCCATTGTTAAAATCTACCAGTAAAGAGAATGTTTTGTTATTGTAAATTCAGAAATTATTGTGAGGTTTTCATCAATGTGAATAATGCAATTGGTGAATATCCAAATAATAAGAACTCACATTCCGATATCTGATACATATATCTGTATGCAGAATTTCCTTAAATCCCAATAAATAATCTCACATTTTCGCAATATTAAATGCCCTAAATAATTTCTGAATTTACAGTAATTAGAGTATGAACATGGTCAGAGTAAAATTTCATCAAGAAGCAAGACATAAAATATTAAGACAATATTGTAGATTTTTTTAATAAAGGTACTAGTCTAAATACTCTTTTTTTATATTTATGTTTTTTTTAATTATCTCCCTTTTATGCATTCTGTAATAAATGCTCTATCTGTATCTTCCTATTTGATTTTACTTCACTTTTGATTCCTATGTATTTTTTAACCTTTATAAGAGAACTTTAATAAATTGAAATCATTGAAAGGAAAATATCCCCATTAGCAGTGATTTTATAACAGGAGAATATAAAAACATACCATATGTTGAAATTTTGCAAAAAAATCAAAAGAAAACGGTAAGAAACAACCATCTTTCAATGCAAGAATTATGTTCTAATCCATATAACAGACTTAAACATTTGAAAAATTTGAGTAAACAAATCATAAATTGTAAAAAAAAAGAAAGGTCAATATCATTTTTAAGCCAATCAAGAAATGGACAAATATCAAATTCTCCCATGTAAGCTCACATTTATCTTGATGGAATACTGCATCAATAGTTCCTCTGTCATTGTCTTCTAATATCTGTCTCCATGCTACAATACAAAATCATTAGCATTGCCATATGTGCATGATGAAAGCATATATATTTTTCAACTTTATTCAGATTAAGATGGATGGGTATGGCAGAAGCTGATATTAAACACTTGCAAAAGACACTTTACTTGGTGCCCACTCTTTTTGACAGTTTTTGTATGCTTTCCAAGTTAAATCATTTTTGATTTTATGAAAAAAATAAGATCATTCTGAACATATACCTGTTTTTCTCAACTTGTATATATCAGAGGGGAAATCCCTTCAAAGACCAGGAAACAAAAAAACAAACGTTTATAACAAAACTTCTGGAATTTCATGCCACAACTGACATGACTGTTACTTGAAAAACATGGTTCTGGGATAATATCAACACATTATAAATTCTGTCTAGCAAAGAAATCTAAAAAATACTGTTATTAATTTCCAATTTCAATAAATGGGCTATTTCCAAATAAAACATCATATCTGGCACAGAAATCTATCATAAATCATCCTATAATTACCATAAACAACACAAACATTTGGACAACTTTAGGGCACATCAAGAAATAGGTTTTAAAACTCGGCTGGGAATTACTTATGATCAGTATCTACCCATGTAACTGACAGAAATTTTCATATCATAATAATTTAATTTTGGATGCAAGAGGTCTTCTGATTAGCTGAAAGTTTTTTGTCTATCAGCTCAACGACATAATTTTGCCATGTGAATGTGACGTCATCAACAATTTTTAAAGATTTACTCCTTAAAAATGGAATTTAGAATTAAATTATAAGGAATGACTGTAATAATTTTTTCTGTCTAATCGAATAACCTCAAAAATGTGGTGCACACTTTTAAATTACGCCCTACATGGGTTATTCAGTGAGCACCACATTTTTGATGTTATTTGTTCATAAAAAGAAAAAATATTACAGTAATTCCTTAAATGATGTTCAAATCTCTACATATTTTTATATATTACTATAATGTCCAATACCATATGGATACCTTTACAAAATCAAAGGAGTTAGACAAATTAGTTATGAAACATGATACACATGTAGCTGTTTTCATCAAAGGTCTAGCCTGGATAAATAACAGCTGTCTCCAGTTTTTTTTTGTAATCTAATTTACCTATAGATCCATTGTAGACATGTATTGAAGCTAAAACATTTTTATCTGTGGTAACCAGTAGCTTTTTACTTGGATTTGATTGGTCCCAATACAATCTCTCTACTTTTCCTATATATCTTTGTGTCCTGTGAATAAATAATCCCATCATTAATCTCAGTATATACATGTACTTGGACACAATAGTCTGAAATATATATGTGTAAAAAAAAAAAAGTGAGTCCCAGCCTATTCTGATGAGTCCATAAATCTTTTACTCAAATAGTTCCTAATTATTTGGCTAAGTGGACTTCCTCAAATAGAAAGGATTGTTTATCGGTATAACATTAGATTAGTCAGATTAATATGATATACTTATAAACATGATAATACAAACAACCAAATCTTTGCACCACTCCAATTCCAAACACATACAGGATAGGTTTTTACTCATTGCTGAAGGCCATACAATGAACTGTATTTGTTTACAACCTTGCCCTTAGGTGTTTACATGTCAAACAGCTAATACCATATCTCCTTATATGCACATGTAAATATATAAAAGTAATTTAACAAATAGCCTTTCATTTTAAAATAAACAGCTGCGCTATGAGCGCATGATACACCCGTCGCTTTTTCAATAGATATAAACCAGTCACCAAAGTTTCATAAAACGTGCTCAAAGCATTTTTGAGTAATTGTCTGAAAACTGGAAAATCCCCCTTTTATTAATGAATAAAACCCCATAACTTGGAAACGTAAAATCTCAAATTTATGAAAATCGAAAGGGAGCTCACATCAACAGATAAAAACAATTCACCAAAGTTTCATGAAAACTGTTCAAAGCATTTTTGAGTTATTGTCGGAAAACTGGAAAATCCCCCTTTTTTAATGAATAAAACCCCATAACCTTGGAAACGTAAAATCTAAAATTTATGAAAATCGAAAGGGAGCTCACATCAATATATAAAAACAATTCACCAAAGTTTCATGAAAACTATTTAAAGCATTTTTGAGTTATTGTAGGAAAACTGGAAAATCCTCCTTTTTTAATGAATAAAACACCACAACTCTGAAACGCAAAATCCAAAATTAATAAAAATCGAAAGGGAGCTCACGTCAATAGATATACACAATTCACCAAAGTTTCATGCAAATTGGTTTAAGCGTTTTTGAGTTATTGTCCGACATGTTGACGACGGACGGACAGACAGTGGTATACCATAATGTAATACGTCCCGCAAACGGGCATATAAAAAGGGAATTCCAAACTTTTATCACGACTGAAATTTGAGGAATACCTAAAATTCAAACAATTGACATGTATAATTAATTGGTTTCCTTTAACAACTTTATTGCCAGTAAACACACATGCTTTAAAGGTGAACACATTTTTTATATCCTCTGGTTTTATCACATTAGCATTAGCCAATCACATTATCAGTTTCATCATTATTTTGGTTTCTCTCAGATTTTACCTATACTGCAAACAATGCATAAAAACAGATGTCCATTTCCAGTAAATATACCGTTGAACCTCGTTAAGTTGAAGTCGAAGAGACTTGACAATGTATTTGACCTATCCAAGGTTCTACTCATCCAAGTTCAAGTGTATCTTCATAAATTTGGAATGCATGAAATACAGTATGAGATTTAGTGTAAACTACATGTAGATATTTTTAACAGTGTCTTTTTTAGATATGACAATATATGATTGTGTATTCCAGCTCCATATTATTTGTTTCCACTATAAATATGGAATCACTCATGGAACGAAACAAGTCCTTCCAGAAAGATCACTGATGAGGGTCGTCTGCTTTGCATTCAATTATTGTGAATTTGTTTTTTTTTAAATTCTTTTAATTATTGCAATTACTGAATTTGAATTCTAAAAATTCATTTAATCTCAGCTTGCATGGCTTGGGTCATTTGATTTATTTTAGTTTTTATATCAGGTGCAAAGGCGCAGCAATATGTTAAAGATCCTCAAGGAACACATCTGATTTGAATTTTTACTTTTACTTTAATTAGATATAAGAAGATGTGGTATGAGTGCCAATGAGACATTTCTCCATCCAAGTCAAAATTTATAAAGTAAGTCTTAATTTTTCGAAATTTCTTACTTTCCAAATTTAGACATCAATGTCAATTTACATTAATTTTACAACGACTGGACTATAAAATTTACTCTACTTAACATAGAATTCAAATCAACTGAGTTTGACTCTTAAAAGTTTATATTGCATCGATCAAAATGGACTTTCACCAGGACCGAGAAATAACCATGACTTATTCAAGCTTTCTAAAACAAGGTTCGACTGTATTGACAAGAATCACATTTTTAGATTCTTTTTAACAGCTAAGTTATAGTTATTCAGAACAATCAAGTTGGTATATGCTAGTTGTTCTGCACAGCTTAGATAGCCTTAATGGTTTGAACAATGTACATGATGTAAAGGATTTAAGGTCAACAGGTCACCTTGCTGTGCAGAATAACTAAGTCATGTAAGTTGAAAGATAACGATTTCATTGGTCAATAACTGTTTTAACACATGACGTAGTCAATCTATTTGAACATTTTGGAGAGGAAAAATTTTCAGCTAACAAGATTTTATATGTAAACGACATTGTCAATTCACAGATCCTCAGTCCTGGGAGAGTTCTCTTGTATACACAAAGAGAAAATAGGCCCTTAAAAGAAGCACTAGGTTGGTTACATATAAATTATGAACTTTTTATCTTATTTTCTGGCTTATTTCTTAAATGGCAGCGTAATTTGGAGAATTGGGTTTTAATAGCTGATCTTTGTTTCTGTTAAATTTATTCCCAGCTTTTATAAAGATTGGTGATGATTTAGAGCTAACCATAATGTGTAAATATCTCTCTATTGTTAAAAACTGAATATTGTCCAGTAGATGTCCTATGGTTACTTTTTGTTGTTGAGTTGCTGTATCATTGCCGTTTACCCCAAAGGTGACATCTCCTTTTATTTATACAGATTAAATTCCATTTGGCAAACTGTTCAAAATAGGTTCATAACAAATCTTACTCAAAGGGATTTTGAGAATAGATCAAGTGCTTTTCTTCCTTTTAAAAATATGTGCAGAGGAGATGTATGCTAAAACTTATTGGGCCAAGTAAAATGAAGAAAAAGTAATATTTTTACACCCCCTTTCCATTATCTCGATTATACTTCATGTGTTTTCTGCGACCAATTTTGAAGACTTTGTAACTCTGAAAATTTACTTTGTACAATAACTTTTTAAAAAGTTTATAGATTTAGGAAGAAGCCTTTCTCCTGTTCCTGACACTTTTACAATTTTTTATATTATTTCATATTTCTAAATGATGAAGTCATGGAAGTTTGTACAAAGTTGTTAATCATGTAAACATGGTAAAGGCAAGAGTACATTTGAACTGTGCAGTGTATCAGAGGTAGATTATGGCACAGTAAGAACGAAAAGATTTTCTTTGTCTTGTGTTAAATGATACTATCGATGATGATAGGACTCAGCTAGTGTAACAAGGTATTGGGTCTGTTTGCTCCCAATACACGTTCACCTCATGGGTCCATTCGCACCCTATTTTTATTCAAATACCGATTGAATCATTAGATGTTTTTTAGATGTATCAATCAAAATATTTATATTTTCATTAATCATGTTAATAAAATTTGGGAATTTCAAATTGAAATATTTTTTTGGGGGGATTTGATGAAGACTGTATGGACCATCAGACAAACCAGTTGACGATTTTCCACCACAATAGACTTTAAACTTGGATTACAATTGTGACTGTTATTTGAATTTAATAAATTAATTCTAAAATAAACTGTTTATATTAGTGCATTTTAGACAGTATTGGTGTGGGAATGGTGTGTAATGTAATGTTTGACATGTTTGAGGGTTGTTTTTTTTAAAATATTTTAGTGCTCTTTTAACGTTTAAATTTTATAAAGTAGTTACTCTAAACATTTAGTGCATGAAGGAGGAAACCTGTTTACGTTTTTAGAATGTCACTTTATTTTGAAACAATAAAATTTTTATATTTAGCAATACACTAACATGACTAATGAAAACACGATTAAAAATCTAATCAACACAAGACCAATAAAAAGGGTGCAAAAGTGAAATGGGGCAAACGTGAATTTGGTCGAACGGACTCAGATTCGTGTAACAAGGACACATTCTGCAGACTCACTGGGTTCTGATATCATGGCGCGTCCAGACAGACAATAACGCTTCCAGGACTCATGAATGCCAATGTGTCTTAACGAGAACCCTAATGATTTGCTCTCTTATTTCAGAAACCATCTGGCAATTAGTCTATTTCCCTGTTCACGTACAAAGCACAAGAAGTACCGAGTTGGAAGGAAAATATGTATTGTACTGCTATACTGTTACAAACATTGCTCTTTAAACTGGCATTGCACAAGGTCATGTTTTTCTCTGACTGTTAATGACGTCTTTACACTAAATCCATTGGACGTTGGATGTGTACTGATAGATATTTTAGTCTTAGATGCATGATTTTTTTTAATAGTTGTTATTCATGTTATTGGCTTTGAACTAGCTGTCAGTAACTGCAAATACTCTCAGATCTGTACTTAGCAGTCTTCACGCTGAGTGGCAGCCCAGGCAGCCCAGGCTTGTAATATTGCTCTCGGGCCTGTAAAAATCATATCTACAAGCCAACAGAATCTAACTAAAAATTTTCAAAAATTGAGCTCCGGGCCTGTAGATTTAGCAGTTCATCATGAAGACTGACTTAGTGTCTTTTTGTTGTTGGGATGCATAAGTTAAGTACCATGCCACGTCCACTCTGTGTTTTTGTTAAATGTATTTCTACTTCAATGTATCCATCTGATGAGTTAAGCCCTTTTCAACTGATTTTTATAGTCTGTTCTTATGTTCTATTGTTACACCGCTGTCACAGGTTAGGGGGCGGGTTGGTGCCTTTAAATTAGTTTAAACTGCCACATTCTATATCTGCCTGTCCCAAGTCAGGAGCCTGTAATTTAGTGGTTGTTGTTTGTTGCTGTATATCATATTTATTTTTCCTTCATTATTTTGTACATAAATCAGGCCGTTAGTTTTCTCGTTTGAACTGTTTTACATTTGTCATTTCTGGTCCTTTTAAAGCTGACTATGCGGTATGGGTTTTACTCATTGTTGAAGGCTGTGCGGTGACCATAGTCTTCAATCTTTGTCGTGATGACAGGGTAATCTCTCTTGTAAATTATCCTCTTTTGTAAAATTATGGTCACTAATGTAGTTTCTCCTTTGTACTTAAATATCGTAGATAAAAAAAAAGTAATAAAGAAAAAAAAAGTATTGAGAAAAAATTAAAATTTAAAAAATTGTATAATCAGGTAATTGAATTGACATGAACAAAAAATATAAAAAGAATGTCTATTAAATTATCCACTAAAATGGTTTGTTTCCTCTATGTACTCCGCTAATAATTGAATGACATTTTCTGCATTTGGCATATTGATTGTTAATAAATTGTCTAAATCATAGTTGTTAACAGGTTAACTGTCTGTGTCATAATTTATTTGGTCTCTTGTGGAGAGTTGTCTCATTGGCAATCATACCACATCTTCTTATCTTTATATTGTACAATTTTACAAAATAAATTACCAATCAAATTTTCCAACTTGATCTTCATAAAGACAAGAGACATGTAAAAATGCAGTAATTAGGAGGAAAAACGATACTTTTACAATACTCGAAAGCATTTTTCCCCTTCTTCCACCGGTAGCGTTTTAGTATCTTCACGTAAAAGAGTTCCTAGATTGTAGTAATTCGTCCCATACTTCGTTCGGCCTTATTCAATATTGATCTTGCAGGTAAAATGTTATGATCCTTTGAAAATAAGGTTAATTTTACAATAAATGACGCCATTATCTGAACATTTAAGTACCTAAAAAAGGGTCCTACTAAAAAGCGCCCGGGTGAAGAAAAAGCGCCCGGGGAAAAGAAAAAGCGCCCGGGGAAGAAAAAAAAGCGCCCGGGGAAAAGAAAAGGCGCCCGGGGAAAATATATATATATTGTATTGGCATGAGACAACTTTGTGTCGATGAAATAAGTTATGCACATTGATTTTTTTTTAATTTTAGACACGTATTTTGCAAATTCAGATAATAGACATTTGTAATAAAGCACAAAAACAAGTATAAATGTTTCAATTTTAACAATAATATATGAATACTATTTCGAAAGACAGATAATAATGGATCACAGTTTATGCTGAAGATTTATAAAATGTTAGACATCAAAAGACATGTTTTTCAAAAACGATATTAATATGAAAAATGCAAAAACACTGACTTAAATTTCACAGATAGATATTAATTTTATAAAATTAAAAGAGTTACAAATTATTTAAGAACGATAAAAGTGACACGCACATGTATATCAGCATCAGCAAATAAAACAATTATACTATGCATGTTAAAAGCAGGTGTTTGGTATAAAACAAATAACATTGAATCACCGATAAGCATTACAAATCGCATGCCGCGATTTAAACAGTTTTGTTTTTATAAAAAAACTATAATTAATCAGCAAATAAAGCAGTACTATACTTGTACCGTAGTTAAAACAAGGGGGTAAAAAGCAGGAGTTTGGTTTAAATTTAAAACTAAGCACTAAAACACTGATAAGCATAGCCATTAAAACAGTTTAAGTTTTATAAAAAGATATAATAAATCTATATCAGCATCTGCATATAAAACATTTACTATTATTAAAAAAGCACTAAAAGTAAAAAGTAAATATAAGACTGTTGTCACCCACGAGGGCCATGGAAGCAGAACTGAACAGACAACTCCCATCTGTTAAGGACGTCAATGGGACACCTGAAACCACAATGATAGAGTTTTATAGTTCGTTCCTATGTCGTACTGTTACACCACTGTCCCAGGTTAGGGGGATGGTTGGGATCCCGCTAACATGTTTTTCCCCGCCACATTATGTATGTATGTGCCTGTCCCAAGTCAGGAGTCTGTAATTCAGTGGTTGTCGTTTGTTGGCTTTGTTGCTGTGTTACATATTATTTTTTCGTTCATTTTTTTTTATACATAAATTAGGCCGTTAGTTTTCTCGTTTGAATTGTTTTACATTTTCATTTCGGGGCCTTTTATAGCTGAATATGCGGTATGGGCTTTGCTCATTGTTGAAGGCCGTACGTTGACCTATAGTTGTTAATTTCTGTGTCATTTGGTCTCTTGTGAATAGTTGGTTCATTGGCAATCACACCACATCTTCTTTTTTATATTTTAGATATATAGTGTAAAGAAATTCCCCTTATTTACATATACGCAGTATAATTCGAAAGCCAACTCCTCGAGATAGACTAAAAGTTTAGAAAGCATGTGACTTCACTATTGTCCAGTTATTTTGCTGTCTTTTATTATATGACAAACGAGACAGTGAATTCAAATGCTTCATATGAACCAGGTATCGCTTTTTCTTATATTATATATTTTAAGGCTAAAATGTTATTAAAATGTATCATATGCTATCAAACGTAATGTATTTTGGCTACATCTGAAAAAAAATTACGGCGATAATATGTTTAAATTTTGATGTAAACATATCTTAAAATGTCCTATAGTTTCAGCTAAACCCGATTTTCCCCAACTACATCATTAGTGACGTATTTGTGACGTCATAAATGTAGGAGAATTTCGTAAAACCGTATTTTTTTTTACAGAATTCTGCAAAATTTATGACGGTTGTTTGAAAAATTTACAGTGGCGCCACCCTTCGCCCACAACTATTTATTCTTTATATGGGTCTTTTTCAAAAAAATGTCGAATTTTCAGTACACCCATGCTTAATTTTTTATTTCTAATGGAAATTTCAGTTGTAATTGTTTAAATGAAAGCTTGTAGGATTTATGATTCAGAACATTAATAATAAACACGATTTACATCTATTTTCATAAGATTAAAATGTATTTAAGTCCGATTTTTGGGTAATTTGTGTGCGTACAGTTTCAGAAAAACACATTTCAAATGATTTTTTTCCGGTTTTCTGATCGCCTTGATATCTGCAAAAGGGACTTTTTAAGAACGTTAATAATTACTCTAACGAAAAATCATAGCTTCTTTATCATTATATGTAACATTTTATCTACAAACTTAATTCAATCCGCGTACATGAAGTTCATGTCCATCCTGTTACCGCTACTTAAATCAGCCGTTAAATTATTCTCCCTATGAATATTGAATTAGTCAGTGTTGATTTCAAAAGTGCAAAGTAACCTTTACATTTAACACAGCACTGTTCTTGAACGACAGTGTAGAGAAAAGAAATTTCAAGACATTTAGTGAAAAAAATAGAGGGTACTTTTTTTTTATGTCTATGCTGTTACCAACAATTTTGATTAATTACACCAAAAGTATACTTGTAAAAAGTGTAATAACGTGTTGGAAACCAAATTCACAACAGAAAAACATTATCACCTCACCAAAGGGAGTAGTTATTTCACAACAGCATTCGAAAATGAAGAAATTTGTCTATCCTGTTACTATGGTTGCTATGGTTACAGTAACATGATAGACAATTGTAGACAGAAACGTCGTTAAAAAGTTTATCATAACATATAGTTGCAAACAGAATGAAATCTTTCGTTGTTTGAACTCATCTTAAGGTTATAACGTCTTAATCTTCCCAATTTAGCATTTGCAGGTGCAATACTGATATCGGTAACAGGATAGACAAAAAGGTAACAGGATAGAACTTTATATAGTGATATATCATTAACGTACGTTCCTGTTACCAATGAAATAAAGACAAAAGTAATTAAACTAACATGTGAGGGATTTACTTGATATTGGGTTTATTTGAAAGAGAGAAAAAATGCCGAACAATATGAATTGCTATCTTAGACTTGCATTACTGGTGGTAATTTTTACAACCTTTGAAAACCAATTTTTAGAGACAATTTTCAGTACAACCTGGAAAATTGGCAAATAATCTATTATTTCACAAAATGAATATATATAGAAGTTTATTCGCTTGAAAACCATCTAATTGGCTACGAAAAACAAGCTTAAAACTTTATCTAAACCTTTTCTTAATAACCCAAAATTTCTTTTGAAAATGGTAATAGGAGAGACAAAATATTGTACCACCTATCAAAAAATGTTTCAAGATATTCTTGTATGACATTATTAAGATTGCATCTTTTAATATGTTATTCTATAAGTACTGTTTGTTTTGATTTGCTTATGTAAAGGGTTGTTTGAATAAGTAACTTTTAATAAAATTTTCAATTTCATAATTCGACATTTTTTGAAAATGACCCATTATATACCATATTCTTTACTCTCAACAAAAATTTCAATGGGCGAGGGATGGCGCCACATAAATATAATGAAACAATGTTGAAAAATTAACAAATTTCTCGAAAAATGGACGAAAATGAAATCTATTCCTATTTCAGGCTAATACTATTTAAAGATATGAACCAGATATATAATTTTTCTTATCATACTTTCAAACATAATACATTTAGCAACACATACATATAAGTTTTAATCTAATATTATAAGCCCTATTGTGATAGAAGATTTCAAAAATTCTAAAAATCTACTACAAAATTTCCATCAAAATCCTTACAATTTTGTAGTAGATCTTTAGAACTTTTAATAATCTGATTGACATTGGTTGAATATACCTCATCACAATAACTCTAAATGAAATCTTTTATTATACAAAGATTTGTGGTACATGTAAAAATATAGAAAGATGTTTAGTCCAACATCTTGACAACCCGGCTTTATATCGTTCTTTTTAAAAGTTTTTGTTTTGGAAAGAGAATAAAGCATACTCAACCTAAGACTTCTTGAAAGTGGAAGAAACCCGTGTGCTTATTGTACGTCGTACTCGTAGATTATGAACGCACTTCTTTAAATTCCGTACGGTGACCTATTATTAAATTTATTTCTTAAATCATTTTTTTCCTTTTTCTTTATTTTTTACAGAATATTCTTTATATTTTAGCACCACATTTTTCTCAATTCCTTATATTTGAGCATCTCATTTTTCTCTATTCTTTACCGTGGCTTTTTGGGTCATTATTCTCTATTCTGTAAAACCCATTGATGTACATGCTCGGCATCGTAGGATAAAACAGTCCTCAGTTCTTTCTAAATCATGTCTTCGAACCGATCACAGAACAAATTTGCCCCCCCCCCCCCCCAAGGGTGACATGCCCTTTTTTCCTGACGCCATGCCCTTTTTTCGACGCCATGCCCTTTTTCTTCTGAAAAATTTGACGCCATTTGCCCTTAAGCGTAATAAGGGTCGAGATTGGATCGCGGTATTGGGGTTTATTCGTTTATCGAAAGGCGAAAAGCATCGTCTAAAGTAAGTTGCATGTTATTTCATGAAGACAGTATTTATCACTTCCGCGATACTCGAGAGCGTACCTCAAATCATTCTTAATTTCGGCATAATAAGTCGGTTACTTCGTAAGAACGTGGTGAAAGTTGCATGAAGTAAATTTGTTATTCATTTGTTGCATTAAAAACGTCCATACTGAACTATTAGTTCGGTCAAGAAAGACAACTCGTACTCAAAAAAGGGAGGTAACTCAATGTTCTTATAAAGGTTGCAGTCTTGTAATTGACTGCTCCATAGGCTTACATGCAAAACAGCTCATCTTTGAAAATAAAAAAATAAAAAATGCTACATAGAAAAAAAATTTCATGTTCATATCATGTATGTATTAATGTGAAATTGTGATTTAA